TGCATATGGCTGTGTGTTTGCATAGAAGAGCGAAGCGTGTTTTTTAGGGTCCCCTGAAGATTTTACGTAAGACTGCATGCATTTTTCCTCACTGCCCCCGCACATGCCAGAGAACGCGCAGCTCTCAGGCCGCTCCGAGGCTGCATTGTGGCCGGGAGCCACGGGCGAGCGGGAGCCCTGCGGGCCGCGCCAGCTCCCGCTGTGCCCGGAGGAGCGGAGCGGCACGGACCTGGGGAAGGCGGGCTGCTGGAGCCGCTCTGACCTGCGGCGGCCCCCGGCCACAGCTGCCAGCCCTACAGCATGAGACACGGGCAGGCTCCGTGCCTGGCACGGCTCAGAGCACTACGGGCTGCTGGATCCCTGGAGCTAAGCAGGAGGATGGGAGTGAGTAAATGGCAGGCGTTTGCTGCTGGTAAAGGTTTCCTGTAGGTATTACAGGTGTGGCAGTGTAGAAGGAAGTACCCTCGGGCACGTCCAGCCCAGCCCTGGCAGACCTCAGCCTCCAGCTGGCTGAGTGAAGGACAGGTTTGAAATGTGCCTCTGGGATGAAGTATTAAAGAGCTCTTGCTCTGAAATTCCTGAGCTTGCTGATGTGCCTGAGCGCAGGCTGCAGAAAGCTCAAAGCACAGGTGAGAAGAAACATTTCAAAGTTTGGGTAAGTGGGGTTTTTCTATGCAAGAATTTGGAAGTGCCATTACTCCCAAACATCTGAATGCCAAAGAAAAGGGGAAAAACATCCATTATCATCCTTAGCTCTTTTTCACCCTTCATCTGCAGAGGAAGTCACTATACTGTAATAAAAATAATTTAAAGGTGTGTTTTCTCAGGAATCGTGAATCTTGTCCTTTCTGTACATGAAGATGTTTCAGTCTCCATTTCTAAATATGATCTACCTGGAGTTTAGTTCATTTGACAAGGCTCTTAACTTGGTTTTTCGGTGGCTGCAAGAATACAAGAACCACGATGATGGTCACCCTGTCTCCCACATTGGCTAGTGATCCTTCTAGAAGGAGATCTTCACTGGTGCCCACTCCTGTCCTTCACTGATCGCAGCTGCACAATTTCCTGAAGGCTGCATTTGGATCATGCAAATGCAGGTGTTTTGCATCCAAGTCTCTGTGTAGGTCACGTCTCTTGAAGCTGTTTTCTTTGCTTCTACCAGATCCTGTGGCAAGAATGTCCCTGATCAAATTGTACTGTGTAAAGAAGTTTCTTTTCTCTTTGGTTTAAATCTGATTTCACTGGGTGTTGATGAGTTTTGATATTACAAAACCAGCAATTACTTGCTCCCTATTAATCTTTCACGCTTTTACAGACATAGTATTCCTCACCTTGAGATGTTTTCAACCTGGAAAGTGAGTTACATAACCTCTTGTGATGACACCACTGTATTTCTGATCATTCTTTTTTACTTTAATTTTTCTTTCTCCTGTTTCTGTCTCTGTGTTGCACAGTTTCTGAGATGCACTGGAAGCACCATAATATTCAAAACGAGGGCATGCCATAGAATTGCTCTGTAGTCTAAATCTAATTTTTCCCTGGGAATTTTTAATGTTCTACTTGCCTTTTGGCTGTCAAAGACCACTGATCCTATGTGTTCCAACTATGCAGAATGACTCCCAGGTCCCTGTACTGAAAAAGTCAGAGTAATTTAAAACCAACTGTGTGATGCAGTTAGTATTTTTCTGCATGACTATGAAGCTTATTAGTCAGCCTCTCATGCCAAGATTTTTTTCCTAGCTCTGTAATTTTGTCATCAAGAAACACTTGTGTTTTCCTTTGTCAGATTATCTGTTAAAATATGCCAAATGCCCCCTAACATGTCCCCAAATGCCCTCTCAGTCATTCTAGATTTTAAACAGCCTTGAGAGGTCTCATTTATTTCCTGGAGAACCTTTTTTTTTTTTTTTTTTTTTTTTGAGGGGCTAACCCTCCATACTCATACAATGTACAAGTATTTCAAGGATGTGAACTTGAAACTGGAACTACTGCAATACTGATGTCAGAAGTTGGATCGCTTTTTTTTTGTCTTCTCAAATTGATTTTTTGTGTGTGATGCCAAAAACAATTTGGGTGAGGGGAACAAATTACCAGCAGCTCTTCCACTGGTAGAAATGGACAAGAGGAAGGGGCTGCTGCTCCCAAGTTAGCGTTGCTGCCAGTTTGTATTTCCCACAGGGCCTGGTCCAGCATGCTCCTCTTGTAAATCCTGCCCCAGAACCTGCTTTCTTACCAGTTCACTCCAGAGCTCTCCCCTCCTATTACCTGTTGTTGCATAGCATGCCCTATTCTCTCATTCTTCTCTAAAAATGCAATAAAATAAGCCCCAAATCTTGTTTTTGGTAGGGATTTATGAAAATCTGGATAGTGAGCTTTCATGTCCTTTTCATTCCCAGATTTAGAATTATAGACCAGGTGACTTGCCTAGAGTCCACCTACTAAGGATTCAAACAGGAATGTGCTGTTTTCAATCTACAATTGCTTTCTCTCCTAAAACACCTTTTTTAAAATTTGGAGTGAATACCATATTTGTAAAATGTCAACAGTTAATATAAAGCCAACAGTTAATACAAAAATCCACAAAGATAAGCAGTCTACTGCAGTTGTTGGAGGTTAATGTCACTGTAGCTTTCCTCTTCCACCCTTTTTCTAGCCATAATTTTATAAAATGCACAGAGGCTTATATACAGCTATCCACTCTGCATGTATCACAGCTGAAGAAGGTATCTGGTTTCCTGATTTTAACAAGCACATGGACTGCACCTAAGCTGTGATGTGCCTAAGCACACAGTTCAGCTCCCTTGTCTCTGAGTGAAGAAAACAAGTTCAATTTTCCAGATACAAATGACTCACAGGAAGCTGTGTAAGTTCATTGGATTTTTTTGGCCTTTTTGTAACGTCTTCTGCCAAAGGGGAAAGTCCAGCCTATTATCAGTGTAAGAAAACACTAAGAAAAGTTTAGTTTACCTTTGCAAGGTCAAATGTTTTTCCTCCTGGAGACCTCGTCCCCTCTTATTAAAGAAGAAACTGATTACCTCAAATCTTTCCCAATTTTTTTTGATAGGTCACTCCTAAATTCAAAGTATTTAACTTCTGCTTCAATTAAAAATAAATTCTTTAACCTGCTTGTATGGAATGCACAATAACAATGGCCAAAGAAGATTAGCTCATTAAACTGCACATAATTACTACAAAACAGCTGCTTTTAACGACCTTTGAAAGAACAGTTTGCCCATTAGCTGTGCTCATTTTTCCTTTGATATGCATAAATTTAGTGTTAATACATCTTATTCACAAATTGTCTTTTTTCATACATGTATCATAGTAACTCATGAACTTAGATGAACAACATAGCTATTCAGCCTTTTGCAAAGTATGGAAACAAAGTTAGAAAAAAGGAAACAAGAAATTTTATACATCGGTATATTTATTACAGAAAAATAATCAAAAGTAAAAAATCATCAAAGTTACATTTAAAGAAAAGTTCAGTAGCTAAGCTGTAATCCCAAGAGGTAACACTGACCACAAGAACAACCTCTGAGAGTCTGACATGCAAGGTCCTCTGTCACACGCATCGCTCTCCTTGGTGTCACCTGGATGTAATGGCTTCCCTCAGATAACCCAGGCACGACAGCCTGCTGCAGCTGCTGGCTGTGATCTTGACAGCAGATGACAGACAAAGGGGAAGTAGCTCAGACATGTCACCGTGCAAGTTTTGGTGGCTATCACAGCACACCCATGACAATTACATGATTTTCACAAAGGAGGTTGCCTTCTCTGTGGTTGTGTAAGCCCCACTTCCCTGGAGGCCCTGTGGAAGGCTCTCCAAGGCTCACCTGCCTGTACACAGCAGCACTGCTGTGTATCCCTGACTCCCATTGCAAGTGCTGTGGAAAAATTCTGTAGAAAAGTAACGAGTGTAAAATTGAAGCCCCTGTTGAGACAGGGGTTCTTAGATGCTCAAGAATTCAAAAGGCTAAACACCAAGTAGAAAAATATAAAATCTTATAGTAAAGAAAAGAACAGGGAGGCCAGTCAAACCCTTCTCCTTCTGCCTGGTGGCTGCTTGGCTAGGAAAGGCTATCCAAGTGCTTTATCAGGGAGTTGAGTATTCAGTCTAATGATTTTGTCAAATCCAGAATGTCTTTTGTGTTTACCAATCAATTAATAGTTATAATCTACTGTTCCACACTACATATTTTGCCTGCAGAATTTCTTTGTGTCGAGGTAAAGATGCCCACAGAAGCCAGTTCAAAAGAGGGCCACTAACCACAGGCATAGTATAAAAGCAAACAGAAAAAGCTCACAGAAGACAGTCTTCATCGACTGACAGCAAAGGCCAAACTTTTCAGGAGCTGCATTTATTTCCATATGAAAGCCATCACTGTGTTTAGGGGAAGTGCCTGCTTTTGATTTACTGAGATGTTTCATGGAAGACTGTGTCCTGCTGTTTGTAGAGAGCCTGTGCTATCTAGGTTTGGGGTTTTCTCAGCATCTGGTGGCCTCAGATTTTATGCAACCATAAGCTGTTCCAAAATATTGTGTGTTCTTGTTCATGATTTTGGTATCCCTGGCAAAGCAGCCCTTTGTGTAAAATTGGCTTATGGGAAGTTGGTTCAGCACAGTAACTGCAGTCTGACAATACCCTGAATTGGGTACTCTTAAAGTACTCCACAACCAAGGGGTCAGCTCAGACTGGATAGCTGCTTCACTGTGCAAACCATTTAAACATCCTCACACCCTTTCCGTTTGACACAGACAAACATTCCAACATAAACCACTCTGTCTGTTACACAAAGCATTGCCAGCATCTAAATACAATAGACAAATGTAATTTTTCAGTACTAAGAGCTAAATTGCATTGAAGAGAGGAAAATAAACCAATATGTGCTGAAAAGAGAGGAGTGTATTTCAAAAAGTGCATTTCAAAAAACTGGTATTTAGTATAGAGCTATGTAACAATATGCAACTATTTCAAATAAGTCAATTTATACCAAATCTTAAGAGATTGAATCACAAAATTATTATTATTTCTAGTCTACAGGAAAGTGCCTTGAAAGAAGATGGTCCATAAGGTTTTAATCGTGTTCACCACATCTGTAAACAGAGTAAAATGACCTGTTATTTATGTGAGTGCCACCTTGCTTTCAATGTGAAACATGGAGCTTCTTGGTGATTTCTCTGAGAACATTCCAGAGCCCTTCAAGAAAAAAGACATTGCCTTTGGACTCCTAAACATGAATACAATTTTATCTGAGTGGTCTTCCTAGGTACTGCCAGAGCTTGCACCATATCCTTTGCATGGACAGTAGCAAGATGTGCTCAGCAGGGGCTCTGCACATTTTCAGAGCACAGCATGCTAAATTAAGAATTTTTATTGAAACATAGAAGATGTTTAACAACACAGAAAACATCATAATGCTTACAGTACTTCTTTTCCTAAGTTTCTAAACCTGTCCATCAGAATTGATTTGTGGCAAATTCAAAATACCACACTGGCCCAAATAGAATGGCTTTTTCATTACAGCAATCAAAACTTGAAAGAAATACACTTACATTTGTTTTCAAACTAATTTTTTGACCAAGCTTTCAAGACCTTATAAAAATCAAACAAGAAGATCTAAGCTGCTGGTAAAATGTGCAGCAATCAAGGTCTTTGATGAACATGTGAGCTGGAGCAGGGAACAGGTTCCACAGTAGAACTTTCAGGACCCATTACAGGAAGAAAACAAGGAGAGGGGCCTGTGGCATCCTGTGTTCTTCCCCTCTAAAAGCTGCAAGGCTTCTCTGTATTTGAGACAATTTTCAATTTATTTAAAAGCTAATTGGTACTTGCGTACCAGAAGAAAATATTGTCAGCTCACAGAGGAAGGCTGAAAAATAAGATGTGTTTGGATTGAAGGTTCAGCAAGCTGCAGCTCTGACAAACAGCAGAGGTAAATGCCATAATAAATATTTGATTCCTCTACACAGGTAATTGCTAGTAAATGACCATTCTCAATTAAATATACTTTGGGGTCCTTATTTGAGCCTACGTAAACATTTATTTAAAACAAAATCTTCAAAAGCAGTTAATCAGCAGCATTGCAAAACGTTAATTAAGCTCATAGGTGCTAATGGATTTAGAGTGTTATTTATTCAGAGTTATCTAAGTCTGGCTCACTTCCTCCTTCGTGCTGGCAATAGCAAGAAACCCTTCAGAAAGTTTTGGGGGATTTTTTTACCCCTGTCCTCATACCAAAGTAGAGCAGTGAGGTGGCCTGGAGCGCCAGCTCACTTTGTGATCTCTATAGCTGGCACAAGAGAAACACTGCTTCTTTTGGCACAACCCTGTTAGGTGAGCCTAAGCCAAAGTGCATTTTCTGCTAGTGGCTGAGCACTTGCAGCACTTCATATAAAATGCTGAACCTTTGCAGTAGCAAAGCTGATTAAAATCAGGACTTTATTCTACTGCCCTCTTTAAGGACTCTGAAAACTCTTTTCAATCCCCACTGCCACAATGTACTGTTGCATAGCAAAAGTCCATCAAAGTCTCTCATCTGGGCAAGTAAACAGGTTCCGTTAGGATATTCCTCCTTAGAGACTGTCTGTGGGCATGCACTTTGGATTAAAAAAGGCACCATTACCAATATTCTTGTCCGAATTTGTACATTATATATGCTAGACTCAATCCAACAATTTATGTGTCAGACTTCTGTTCTTAGCTGTGTAAACTCCCATGGCAGGGTTTCAAACAGGCCCTCTGCTCTCCTCTCTTGCAGGCAGCTGAGCTACTTGCAAACACTTTCACACATTCTCCTGCCTGTGAGAAATGTAGGCCAGCTCACCACAAGCAGACAGTGTGAAAGCATTCTTTAAAAACCCAGCTCCTGGCCTGTTTTTCATAGAGTGCAAGTCCTTTTAAACACTTGCCTACTTTCTACCCCTGTAAACCCTCCTTTTCCACAGAGGGAACTTCCCCCTTTCTGGGGTGAGAACACCACAGGAGCCATGTCCCCTGCCCCACCACAGCAGACTGCTCTTGCACCACTATTACGCTACCCCACTAAGGCTCTAGCCAAACTGTAGTACTGAATGGAAAAAACCCACACCCACCTGTGTCTGCTTTTAGTTATCAATATTTCAATGCATTTCTAAATATCAACAAAATCCATAATTATTTGATTCTTAAGTAAAACAAGCTGGAAGTTGAAAGGAGTTGTATTTGTTTTAATACAAGCGGTCAATCCAAATTAATTCCACTTAGGTCAATCATCAATACTCAGCTACAGCTAAAGAAAAAAATTCCACAGAGATGGGGGATTTAAAATTAGTATGAAAGGTATGCAAGGTAAAAATTAAGAAGCAAAATTAACCAGGAATTACAAACACAGAATATTTCCTTGAGTAATGCTTGGATTTTGATCCATTGTTAAAATCTGTTATTTGCACTATATTGTTCAAAAGAAGAATACCATTCACCATGGAAAATAAAATGAGATTTTTAAAAAAAATTACAAGGTTGCCTACCTGGCACTAAGCTGTTGAAGGACTTGAACCTTCTCTCTCATTCGATCCCAATTTTGCCTTACATTCTTTGCAAGTATGATGACACTTCCTACAATATTGAAATCAAATAAAACATTGAAGAATTTTGCTGGATTTCTTCTTATACAATCATAGAGCATGGTGGCAAAAATTCTTGAAGAAGTAATCTCTTGACTAGATTCCCCAATTTTTGTAATATGGGATATAAACTGCAAAATATGACATCTAAATGTCTCGGGGAATAAATGCCCATTAATTAGTATTAATTACTCCTTCTAGCAATTGCCAAAATATAACAGAATTTTCTAAGCAGCAAAGGACAGTCCTTGCCATTGTACCTAGGAGCAAACCGAGCCAGGAATAAGGTGTGCAACATTTCGTGTAATACCAAGTATATACTTTGTTATGTGGGGGAAGAATAGAAGTAGAGAAATAGATGAACAATGAAGAAGCTTCCCATTATCAGTCAGGTACTTTTATAGGCATAAAAGCTCATGCTGCTCTGGGGGAAAGATGTGGAAAGACAAAGGAGAATGATTTTTGGCATAGGATTTGTGGAAATGTGTTCTGTGAGTGCAAGGTTTATACCAGAAGCCATATTGAGAATGGAGAGTACAACAGGCAGCTGAAGGAGGAGCTGGGAAGGAAGTCAGAGTCTGATTTGACGTGAAGGAGTACTTTATGTGAAGTTGGAGGCACCAGGTGACAGAAGTCAACCACTGAGATCTATTCTATGGTTAGAGGTGCAAGGTGGAAAAAGCACCCCCTCAGCTTGTGCTCTTCATGGCTTGGCACGACAGCAGGAGGTTGGGCAAAGCCATAGAGGAGAGGGAGGTTGGAATACGGCCTGAGATTGACATTGTTGTTAAAATATGAGAACATTATAAAAAAAATCTGTAGCATATTTGGCCTGGTATGTCCCAAAGGAAGACTCAAAGGATGGAAGTGATAACATGGACAATCTAGCAGTATAGCACTAGATGAAAAGAGAATGAGTGACTGTTGTCACATCACACCTAAAAGTACAATAGTTTCATTTAAATAATGGATATCCTAGTAACAGGTATTACAATGATTTTAATTTGCATTTTCTGAAGAATGTGTAGTAGTTTCTAATACTGCAATATATAGTCCAAGACAATGACTAGAACCTCAGGATCTAATCACAGAACTTAAATTCATAGTTTTGCTGCATATAATTTTAAGTGTGTTTTAGACTATTTTGATCTAGGCTTAATAATTTACATTAGTACAGACCTTTTTTGTTGTGGACAAAACGGTGCAATACCAATTTTCTGAAACTTTTTTTTGCATTCTCCCATGTATGACATCCTTCCAATGGCAAAACCCAAGACACCAGCAACTACAGAGACAGATAACAATACCTTGTTAATACAAGAGCTTAAATCAGGAGTGGGCTACTGGCTCCACTTTAATCATGTAACAAATTCTGTACCACATCTTCTCAGAACATGTCACAAACACATGTGAAGTTATACAGGGTTTACAGGGGTGAATTCAATAACTACTGAAAACCAGTTACCTATCATGAGAGAGAACAACTGGTCCGAAATAATTGATACAGAAAAAGGATATAATATACCTGTGTACAGGAAAAGGAGATAATATTTAAAGGACCAGATTACACAAATAAAATTAATTCAAAATGTCAGCACTAATAGTTCTTGCCTTTGATTGCACACCATGATTTACTTCTAATGATCACACTTTTAACACCAACTTCTCTGGCCTTCTAAGAAGCTGGAACATCAGCTTGCCATGCTGTTGCACTGTGGCTTTCACTCACTAGAGTCAGAATAAAAGACTACTTCAATGTCCTTGATTTCCTGCTGAATTTCTGCTGGAAAGGGAATCTATTTAATTTCTTGTAATTTATGAGCCACCTTACTGTACAGTACAGTTTCTGTGCTTCTGTTTGTTTTCTTTATCAATCCATGGTTCTGAATTAGACAACTGAGATCAATCAAACAAACACATGAAAAGGACCATACTATTTTATATATTATAGTGTCATGACTTCTTGATACCGTAAGTTGTACAATCTGCCAAGCACAGCTGATCAATGAGATGACATAATTGATAAAACAAAGTGGAGACTAAAGTTTATACCAATTTGAGAGACTGCATTACATAAATATAAGCTGCTACTGAAAATATTTACATTAGAAGAATCTTGTTTCATACATTTATTTTTAAACACATAAAGAAACTGATTTCCTAATCTGCTGGGGTGACATATCAATTGCAAAAAAAGAAGATTTTGGAAAGAAATTCAGAGAGTTGCATCTTAGCAGGCATATTGCCTGTAAAGAACCTTTTCTTTCCTTTTAGAATTGGGTACAACTTACGTGCCATCTTGGGGTATGGACCAAATCTTGGGCTTGCTGAGAAAATGCCTACAATAAAAGGAAATAGTCAGAAAGCTTATTCACTCACCAGCACTCAAAACCAGCACTAATTTTCCTACAGATTTTGCATTTCTTAAGGTGAGGATGGTATGAAGCCCACTAACTCAGATTTCAGTACATCAGGGCACTTTCTATTCTACTAGTTCATAGTGCATGTGTTTTCGGGCAGTCTTACAGAGTCATAGGAGGAAGAGAATCTGGACTTTGCAGGATTCAGTTCAGGCAGGAGTTGAGAGTGTAAACCAACATGAAAGCAACATGTCTGCCACTGGTGACACCTGCAGCACTGCAGAGGAAGTGATGGTGGTTTATGTTTCAGCACAAACCAACTCTGCATATAAAACAGCAAAATGAAATCTCTCACACAGGGTCCAGCTCCTTGTGCTGTGATAAGTAGGATGAAACTGCTCTTTGGTAGCTTTCTGTGGCTATCAATTAAAACTGATATCTAGACTTCCCCTCTGGAGAGGAAGGATCACACATTTTGGCCTTTAAGAGGAGAACACAGTGTGCTAAATAAGAAAAGCAAAAAATTATCTTTAGCTTTTCCACCAAAATCCACATTCCCCAAGTTAATCTCAGGAGGTAAAACCAGTATTCCTCTGAGAACTGTGTCTGGCAGAGGAATGCCATGCTGTGGAGGAGGGCTCCACATAGCACGATTACCGTGGCAAAGGGAAGGCAAGTAAACACTGGTTGCACTGTTACATGCATTCAGACAGAAATAATGAGGCTTAGAAGCTACAGCATCTTCTAGAGGCAGGGTACTGTGTGCAGCCATCAGAAGAAAGAATTTAGACAGAGAAGTATTCAGCCTATGCTAAGCACAAGGGCCTTTGCCCACTGTGATCTATACAATTTTATATCGGGTCTCTCGGGGGAGGGAGGAACAAAAGTGTTGTTTGTTTCTAATCACCCCCCTCCAGCTGGTGACACACAGTAATGATTATTTACTAAGAGCATTTGTTATTTCACAGCTGATCAGAAACATCCAAGTATACTGAACAGAAACTGAGAGTACCTGGTGCCAGAGGTTGGCACGTTAGCTGCAGAGACAGCCCCGGGGCCCTTCCTGTCACTGCTCACCCTTTTTCCAATGTGTAATCCTTCTCTGACACACTCTTACTCCCTCCCTGCCTGTCTTCCTACAAGCTCATAGGTCAAGGATGGAGTAGGGAACCCACATCAGCCTCTTGTGATACAGCTTAGCAGACTTCAGGGTGGATGCCCCTCACTCTCTCCCCAAAACACCAACCTCTACCTTATATATAGTCCAGGCCCCCAGCAGGGAAACTGAAGGCGCCATGCATAGAACCAGGCACATTCACCACATAAACAGAATACAATTTTCCTTTGTGTTAGCCTGCAGATCGTGAGCCATCTCTACAGAAAGCTCTCTGTCTCCCCACTCTGGCAGTACTCCTTGTCCCTTTGCACCAAAGCTGTAGGACCATTGACACATGGTCACTGTCAAAACATTGCCAGCCTTTTCAAACAGAACAACAGTCAGAGCTCCAGTACCCGATTCTAACACCCTGCTCAGGTTGTACAGCTCTGCCCTGCGAGCTGCCCCAGTGAAGACTCTACTCAACTACACATGATCATGATGACAAAATCCAGCCACCAGTCTTTGGATTTGCAAATTCTCTTTTCAGTTCATGCTCTTGTGAAAAAACGACTGTAGCAATGCACACATAATAATCAAATCACCACAGCAATTATGGTAATGAGTGAGAAGAATATGGATCTTGAAAAACAGCACTTTAATGATGTATTTTTTTATCTTTACCTTTTGAGATTAGCCCCTGGGTGACAAGCATGCTCCCAAGAGATAAAGGAAGAGCTGTGAAAATGAAAAGGAAAGTAGCTGGTATCAGCCAAAATTTGCTAAGTATTTGGTAAATACTCTCTTATACATTAAATGTTTTCTGTTTCTAATGTAAAAACATTATTTCTAAACATTAACTTTTCCTACTGTCTTAATCACCTGTTACATCTGCTCATTCAGATTACATTCTCTTCAAAGCCAAGATGTTCTCACACAGTGCCAGACATCAGCCATGCTGTAACATCTGGAGCTAATGCAATACATATATATTTATTAAATAATAGATTCCACAATCTGAATATCTCGTCTAACTACTGCAATACTTGTAATGACAGCAGCTCCAATAAAATGCTGAAACCCTTTTCAATCTTCTCCATTCAGGAAATATGTAATTTAGATACAAACTGAGAGGGTGGAAGTAAAGGTACTAAAACACCAAGCACTGATCTTTTTAGCTGTCCTAACACACTTGGAATTTCACAAATCAAAGACACGTAGCGGTGCCTGCCTTCCATTCAAAGGCAAGGATAAGTATGTAACAAAGTAAAACATTCCTTAGATGGTTGTAACCAACTCTGCAACTGCTGAAGTTCCTACTAAGCAAGACCTCAATTCAACCACCTTTACCTACAACAATGATGCAAATAATTCAATTAAACCTTGAAGAATACAACACTTAACCCACAACAGTGTTCCAACAAAAAAACATTTTGCAGACAGTTTTGCATACATACATCAAGAAGTCATTCTATGTGGTAAGTGTGGTAAGAATGACTTTGGATCACTCACCTCTGTACCAAAAACTTTCCTGTTTGCATTCTTTAACGATTCTTGCAATCTCTCTGTCTTGAATTTGGGACATGGGACAAAATAACATTGGCTGAAAGCATAAACCTGGATTAGTTTACCAAATTTAATCTCACAGGAAGAAAAAAATTGAATTAATTAAAGAAGATAAATTATAAAAAAAAAAATACAAAAACCTCCAAGCAAAACTCCTTATTCTGTTGCTAGCAGTATGATGAAATCTTGATACCCCAATACAGAAACAGAAAGAACTATATAGGTTTTAAGTTTAAACAACCCATCTTGTTGATCTTTACTTTCCTAAAATTGCTGAGCTGCTGCTTACCCTAGAAGCATATTGTTTTATGTCTGTTAGCCATTTCATTCTCATGAGCTACATTATGTCTCCCAGAAAGAAATGACAGGAAATAAAGACAGAGTGGCAGTTTTCAAAAATCAAGTTCTGCTCTGAACAATTGAAGTTCAATAAGAGCAGATTTTGCAAGTATTAGAAGAGAGTCAACATAAATTCTGCCAGACTCCTCACTAGTAGAACTTTCTCTCTGAGCAATTTAAATATATCCATGGCATTAACTGAACTCAACCATACTGGCTTCACCCTAGTACAAATCAGGCTGCCAACAGACTTCCCGAAGGTAGCTCTTTTTTCACCCATTGTGATTGTGAGGAAAAAGTGACAGTATTCTCCTTGCATTCTACTGTCCAAGGTATTGACATGTAAACATATGAGGATTATTTTTCTTTCTTTAACAAAAGACTCAGTGTTAGCATTTGCAGTGCTGTTATCAGACATCTGAGATAAATGGGTGTACTGGCTTCTACTGGACGAGAGTTTATTTTCTCCACAGTAACCAGTATGGTGCTAGGTTTTGGATTTATGACCAAACCAGTCTTTACAATACAGGGATATTTAATTACTGCTGAGTAGACCTTACACAGAGTCAAGGCCTTTTTTGTTTCTCAGGCTGCCCCAACGGCAAATTGGCTGGGGATGTAGAAGAGTTTGGTAAGGGACATAGCTGGGACAGCTGACCCCAGCTGATCCAAAGAACACTCCAATTCCATACCGTGACATTGTGCTCAGCAAGAAAAGCCAAGGCAAAGGAGCCGTCATTAAGTTAAAATTAATTGAAATTTTAACATTTTTTCTGTAAAAACACATCATCTTCAAACATATGCATTCTTCAAAGAAAAACCATCATAGAAGAAGCAATGCCTTGGAAAATGGAAAGAAGAGCACATTCATCTATTACAGGATTCTATCTCCTGTTATGCCTGACTTCTTTATGCATGATTTTATAGCCATAATGAGGAAATGCATTTATTGGCCATAGCCACACATTTCACATTATAGGTAATTGATATCTCAGCCTTTTTTCAAGCACTGCTCCTACAAAAGTTAATGGTGGTGCTGGGCAGACAATGCAGAATTGGCTCCACTCCAGATCATACAGAACCGCTTCAAACTGGTTTCAGAGCAAGGTCATAACAAATACAGTAAAACACAAACAGGCTGACTGAAAGATAAGGAAATGCATGTCAGAGCCCCAAGTGCACCAACAGGCTTTGCAACCTTTCTGCCTTCATACACACCCTGCCAGCTGTTTAGTTGCTTGGGCTCAGAGTCAGCTCTACCATGGCACAATTGTGTAACACCGAGTTAGACTGCTGAAAACAGAAAAGCTCAGAGAAAGCAGCAATAAACTTTGCGCAGGGCCTCTGCCCTTCAGTTCAGGAGCTGTATATAAGCTCAGGCCCTTGCCTTGTCTGTGCTGTAGCTATACCATGGAGATCCTTACCCTGCCTTGCTAACCTGATCACTCAGCTTAGCATCAGACTTGCCTGGCAATCACTGAACTGACTGTAAGCTGACCCTGGTTAACATCATTGGATCTGCTCTCCTCCTCTTTTTGGGTACAGTGATACTGTGCTCCCTGTACCCGAGGCCCCAGCCCCTGCCACCCTGCTGTCACTTGTGCCTCTTCCTTGCAGAACAGCCCAGTTTTGCTGCCCTCTGGTAGTGACTGGTTAGCAAAAAGTCATATCACATTTAAATTCCTCGATGTCTCCTTCAGAGGAGAATGTTCATCTTCTGTAGAGCTGTAGACCCGATTCTTGTGCTGTATTGTTCCCTTGTCCCCTTCTGAACATGTGCATGCAGAGCTTGATGGGGACAGGCTGTACTGGACTTGTACTCAGACACCACAGCCATGCCAGCTCATAACTGAGGGCATAAATCAGAGCCTTAAGATTCACAAGTCCTAGCCCTCTGAGCACAGTGAACGAGGAAAAATAACACGCCATCCTTTCCTCTCTTCATCTGTATGCTTAAGCTAACAGACACCTACTTCTCTCTTCAATAAGAGCAACTGAGGCAAAATCTGTTATTCATTAGCAATAGCATTGAAATATAAGGGAGGAAACCCAGCTTACCCATCCAGGTTGTTTTATTGGAGGTGTCTGACTTCCCTGTTGACCTGTTTCAGAAGACATTGTCTCTTTCCTTGTAGTCTGCTACTGCTCTTGTTCAGCAGAAGCTATGCGTTTTATGCTTGGCTACTTCTCCTTCTGCTAGGTAGAAAGGTAAAAAGTCAAGATATCATACTGATATTCGCAAGTCCAATGTTCATCTAGAAAGAAAAATGACCAGGTTCAAAGGTGTGTATTTTTTACAGCAAATAGCATCCAGTCACTTGATACACAATTTACAGCACAGCTTATCACTTATCAGCAACACCGAGTTGGGTGTAACTTAAACAGGTAAGTCAGTAACTACAGTTAAATGCTGAATCATGACCTAGTATAGTATGTTCAATCATAAAGAAATGAAAATAAATACGAGCAGGTAATTGCAAACCTTTCTAATTTTTTAATGTATTGCAGGTCCAAGAACAGCCTCTTTAGCGTGCTGTCCAGAATTACTGCACTACTTCTATCCTCACTGCCATCATCTGAAACCTGGATTCCATGGGACCCACCAAGCAATCACTATCACAAACCACATCTGTATCTCCAAAACCCCAATTCAGTTACAAACATCCTTTAAAAAAATAACACAAAAGAATAAATAGATTCCAAAGAGTTTTAGAGTTGCAATCTTCCATGCCTGAGAGCCATGCCGCTAGAGAAAAGCAATAAGGAAACTCATTTATTTCTAGAGTACTTCAAACAATCTAAATTGTGATTTTTACCTAGCACTTTGCTGCGTGGTCTGGCACCTTATTAACATGGAGGGTCCTTTTCTGAAGTCTCCTTTTTTGAAAGTACCTGCTGAGAATGGTGGCACTGAGCAAGGCTAAAGTGACTGCAAAGGGCAGAGTTAAATAGAAAAGATATGCAACAATTTACTGACCTAAATGGTTTTTTGCATTTATAATATTACTGTATAAACCACTTCCTGCACTTATTTTGGGGTCAGTTACACAGCTATGAAGTTCAAGCAACAACTGCTTCATATACACTAGATATTCAGACAGCAAAGCCTTTTTTAAACAATAGAAGCAACACAACCTCCCATCCCCTTGGTAAAAAAACTTAAATAAAGCATTGAATTCACACCAATCTGCACTTCATTCTTAGACACTCACAAAAATTACAATGATCACTGTGTCTTTGAAAAACTGTAAGTTTGAAAACCCATATTCTATGAGGAAAGCTCACAGCTCTACACCGTCTTCCTCAATCTGAGAACAATTTAATTTTCATCAGTCTCTTGTCACTTAATGCAAAAAAATGACATAAAATATAAGAAAGATGCATAAAACTTTAAAGTGGCTTGTGTCAATCAAAAATTAATAAAATTTTCTTTTCTTATCTGCTTTCTTATTCTTATCTACTCAGAAAGCTTACTTGTACTGACGGCTGCATAAAATAATCACTGGAAACAGTTTCTAAATGTTGCAACAGATTTAAAGTGCTTGTCTTTTTCATGATAATAAAACAGCTGAGTCACAGGAGGAAAATAAATAAAATAAAATGAAGGGAAAAGTGTGGGTATAAATAAAGATTATAACTATTTGAAGTTTGCCATGGGCCTCCTATATTGTCCTAAGTACACGTTTCTCCTGAATTAGAAGTTATTCACCTATGCTACTGCTTCAACATAATGAAGAACCCCAAAAATATTTAGCCCTTTAAGCAGCCTTGTGGTACAGCTCCCACATGGGATGAAAGCTGAGAGCTATACTGGCAAGAATGAAACAAAGAGACAGAGTTGATGTCATCAAAATATTATGTAACTGAATTATTAATATTCATATCTAGAGACAAGCTGTCTCCTATCTGAGGAATGTAAAGTGTTCCAATATTTCAAGGCCCTGTGTCTTGGAAAGACAACTGTTATCCCAAAAAATAACTCTATTTCCATTAGCTTACTGGAGAAATATAATTTCTTGTAATTTTCTGCAATACTCATTGTTGTTTTCTCAACCTTACACATAATTCTTAGTGCAACAATTAAGTGTATATTCTGGGAAGAATTATTCAATTATATTATTCTGTTTAAATGTAATGCCTGTGTAATACAAGATTAAACCAAAGTGGTTTGCAAATATCAAATAGTCAAAAAACTTATTCATCTTTTACAAGAAATGTTCTGGATAATTTATTCATTAACAGAAGAAAATGCTAATCTTAGGCTCCTGAAAAAAATCTCACAGTTTGAATACCTCTAATGGGATGACAAAGAAGCAGTATGCAAGAAGATAGCTAAGTTTTTCAAATATGAGAGTTGTCAACTTCATACACTGTGTTTTCAATAAAAAGCCTCCTTCTGAATAGGAATAATGACCCCATAATTTCTAGGGCTACTTGGGAGAAGAGAGGGAGAGCCAAAATTGCATGTATCAACTGGTCCACGCAGTGGGCTGTGATGCCCAGGGCAGGCACCACTCATCAAAGATTTCAGGGACGCACTTCAAGGAAGAGGAAGATGACAAGCCTCAACATGATGTTTCACACCTATCTGAACTGGCTTTTTGAAATAAGAGCCTGAGATTAAAACAAAGGTGAGTCTACAGAGTAGCTGCACTGTGTAGTCAATGAAAAGGGCCCTACCAACAACCTGAGAGCATGGCGCTGGGGAATGCCCCACACCTGCTCAGTGCCCCCACCCAGGGCAGCGCACACCCGGCCAGCACAGAGCATTTCTGTCCTAGAATCACAGAACCAATTAGGCTGGAAAAGGCCTCTAAGATCATCGAGTCCAAACTATGACCAAACATCACCTTGCCAACGTGGCACTAAGTGTCACATCCATTCCATTGTATAATCATACTTATTGTGAAGAAATTCTTCCTAATGTTCAACCTGAACCTCGTCTGGCACAGCTTGAGGCTATGTCCCCTTGTCCTGCCATTAGTCGTCTGGAAGAAGAGACCAATCCTCCCCTGGCTACAACCTCCTTCCAGGTAGTTGTAGAGGGCAATAAGGTCTCCCCGAGCATCCTTTTCTCGAGGCTAAACACCCCAGCGCCCTCAGCCGCTCCTAGCAGGACTCATACCCAGACCCTTCAGCAGCTCCACTGCCGTTCTCTGGACACGCTCAAGCACCTCAGCGTGCTGACGGGCACGGCGCGGCCGGGCTGCGGCAGCACAGGCCCCACAGGGCCGCCTGCCCCGGGCCGCCTGCCCAAAGCCGCGCCCCGACCCTCGCCTTCCCCCGCCATGACGCTGGAGAAATCCGGCCCCGCGGAGCCGCTTGGCGCGGAGAGGAGGAGTCTGACACTCACGGCCCCCGCTGCTCTTACCTTTCGCAGGCCGCCGCAGGAAACAGAACGGGCTGGACTGGGCCGACCCGGCCCGGCTGACCCCACAGCCCACGGGTGCCCGCCTGCCGCGCTGGGCGGGAACCGGCCCGCCCGGGCTGCCGGGCTCCAGCGCCACCTGCCGGGCGCAGGGACAGCGGCGCGGCCGGCCCCGCCCCCGTCACCTCACGGCCCGCAGCTCGGCCCCGCGGGGCGGACCGGCCCTTCCCGCCTCCCGGTGCGCTGCTCCCGCAGGACAACGGCGAGCGCGCCAAGAAAATTCCGCGTTCTCGGATTTCCCGACGGAAATTCAGAACGCTCATTCAGCAAGGGTATGTGTTAATGAAGGTAGCAGAATCATGGAATCTTTAGGATTGGAAGGGCCCTCTGGAGGTCGTCTGGTCCAACCCCCACTGCCAAGGCAGGGCCACCTGGAGCAAGTGGCACAGGAATGTGTCCAGGTGGGTTTGGAATGCCTAGGGAAAGGGAGACTCCATGACCTCCCTGGGCAGCCTGTTCAGTGCTCTGCCACTCACAATGGAAAGACCTTCCTCAAGCTGAATTGGAACTTCTTGTGGTTATAGTTTATGGCCACTGCTCCTCATCCTGTTTCTGGGCACCACCAAAAAGGATCTGGCAGCATTCTCTGAGACCTGCCTTTGTGACAGTTATATGCACTGATGAGACCCCCTCCCGGTTTTCTGCTCTGCAGACTGAACAGGCCCAGCTCCTGCAGTCTCTCTGCCTAAGAGAGCTGCTCCAGACCTCTCATCATCCTTGTGGCCTCCACTGAACCCTCTCCAGTAACTTCTTGTCTTCTTCTGTAGTGAGGAGCCCAGCATACCACATGTGGGGTCTGTCCTACGAATTGAAAATATTTTTTTTCTGGAAATGAAATACTGTTCTTTTAAAAAGAAACAACAAATTATACTTTGACCATTTTGGAATTAAAAGCATTGCTTATGTACTTTGATTTTAATACTACAATGCTCATGTAAGTAAATAAATAAATTCTAATATTAACAAGAATTAAATAAGAAAGGCACTTTCATCAAGCAAAAATAATTTTGCAAGAAAAAGTTATTCTGAAAATGTCAGTTGGATGTGGGAGGGGTTCTAGGAATATTAAAAAAAATATTCTACTTTCTCTGAAATAAGAAATGCAATGCCTTTCTTTAAGAATAAGTTTTCTAAAACAAAAATATAAAACTGAGTTTTATTCTGCATTTTATTTTAATTAAAAAGGTCTCTGTTTCTATTTTGTTTTGCTTTATTTTTTTTCACAGCAAGACAGTAATTTTCAGTAGAATATCTTAAATGGCGATATGACACTTCAGTGCTTATCATGAAATGAATAGCCTGTGAGATCACCATTAAACTTCCTCCTTCTGCATGACCTTGGCATCTCAGTTTCATAAGAAACATAAATCATAGTTAATTTTCTCAAGTCCAAAGAAAGCTTTCAGCTTCCATGAGTCTTGGCTGCTTGAAGTCCCTTTCACCAGGCTATTCTCCCACTCTTATCTGCCAAACCACATGATCAGACTTTGCTGCTGCAAAATGTGCTTTTCACATGGAGGCTGGGCAAGAGTGTTGTCCTAAAACAAGTCTTGAAAGTGTATCTAATACCTCCTGGGATCTCAGAGGTATTCTTGAAAACATACATGAAAACTCTTCAACAGATACTGGCTACATGCTATTCTGAAAAATACAATACACAAGAGAATCCCATGTGGAGTGAGTACTTCATAACCAATAACTTAACTGGTCCAGCTTAAGCTGAACATAAAGTGAAAGAGCACTGGAATGATAATTTTCTCATGTGTGTGCCTGAGGATAGTGATTGCCTAGAGATAGGACTGTTTGGATTCTTGCATCTTTCTGTGTGAAAGTGCCTCTTAAAAATCAGTTGAAGCTCCTTTTTCATTGTAACTTTAAATGTAAAATTGGTTATCGAATTGAATATGTTTTTCAAACACTCTTTCTTTCCAAGATTTACCTGAAAGTTTTTCAGAGTTATAAAAATAGAGAGAAGGCAATACAGAAACCAGTAAATGTTAGTGATTTGGAAGAGTAAACACAAAGCAAAAGAGATTCTTACCACTCCCGGAGCAACACAAACTTTACACATCAAAGAAATAAACCCCAAGGGATACCAAAAATAAAGCGACCAATATGGAGTTGAATGTTTGGCTGAGGAATTATCTGTTGTCAGAGTAGAAGCAGATCAGGGACTGAGATTTCACAAACTCAGGGAAGGTTTACAGGGCTCTGGCTGCTTGACTGAAGAACCTCTTGGAAAACACTGAAGGGTTGCCAGGTCCTGAGGTCCACCACAGTCACCAAAGCAAAGCCTTTCTGGTGTGCATATTTAACAGAAGCACTCCACATATGTATGCAGTGCATGCCAGCAGGAGGAACTATTACCACTTATGTTAAACATGGTTTGTCTGTCTGTTACAAAATCAAACCCTGTTAATTGCTTGAAAATCCCTGTGAAACAAAGCTCCACCCCCTTGCTTAGTAACCATAACAGAGCACGGAAAACCAAGTAAGAATTACACGACAGGGCATTGTTCTCGTGCTGATGGGAGTACGAGTTAAGGGCGAATGAAAAGACATGAAAAATCACAGCAGGAAACAGTCAACATACCTCTGAGTAAAACATTAAATTGTCCTCACTACTTGCAAGGAATCATGTAAGTTTTCTGTGTCTTGGGTGATTCTTGGATGTACTTCTATTTGATACTTGGCCTGGGCTATCTTTAAGAAGTGAATAGTTGGTAATTATGAAATGTTTAAGATACAGGATTTTCCCTTCTCAGTGTGAAGAACCTAGTAAAGTGCTTGCAGGGACCTGCTTGTGTTTGTGTTTCCCATGAGATTGTGACAGGTGCCTAACTGTAGACTCGCCCACTCCTGCTTTATTCAGAGCTGTGGTTTTAGTCCTAATCTGTGCTCATACTTTCATGCTTTTTCCCCCTATTTCTCTGGCACTTGCTTCTGCTTCTTCATCATGCTCATGTCAGGCATCTCAGGCAATATGTAAGGACAACTTCTCACAGGGGTCTGAAATTTCCTTTAAGTGCCATGTGTTTCCTTGGGTTTCAAAACATACTTATATTACAGTTTGAACACAAATAAAGATGTGTTTTTTTACAATCGCTAGCTTTAGAAAAGTTTACCCCTGTCAACCAATGTAATTATGGGGCTGTTAAATTCAGATAACTTTTTATGTCTGCCTTGGGGTAGGAGTGTCTTAAATATTACTCTAGAATGCAAATGCTTCTTGTTCTGTGAGTGGAAGCTCCTACTGTGGTGTTTTCATGACTTTACTGGTTTGACATCATTGTATTCCTGTAAAGATCAAATGCTTTTGCTTTATTTTTTTTGTCATGTACACCTGTGGCACTCCAGGAATAATAAAAAAAAAAATGTAGTGAAAGGCATTACTACACATATATGTGTAACTAAGCGCCTTGCAAGCACTGACGTTTGTATTTAAGACATTGCACCTGAAAAGTCTCTCCTCTTTTGCTCTGATGCTTGTGCATATATTAGCCCTATGGAGAGCAATAGAGTGTAACTTTGTGCCAAGTGAGACCAAAGTTAATAGTTACTAAGAATCTCAGAGAGAGTACCCAGAATACAATGGGTAAATTTGTCAGGATTTGCATTGTTTTCATTGCATTATGAGTTTAATGGAAGCCACACAAGCATATCAGGTTCACAATTCCAGTCATGTCTTGTTTTACTGGAACTCCACCTCTGAACCATGAAACAAGATACTGTAATTACAAAAAGGGTTGCAAAATTTTTTTGAATATTTATTGGCTGAATACACGCTGTGTGCCTCACGCTCCCGCTACGCAGCTCCAAAAGCAGCCATGTTCTGCGTTTATTCTGGCCAAAGATCTCATCTTCCATTTGCATCACCACAGCGAGATGAAATGGTGTCATCACTCACATAATCCTGATATCCAGTGATAAGTGAGCTTGGTGACTATTCTGATATGACTTTTCTTTAATGAAGAAAAAGAAAGATGCCTTTAATGACATGGAACTTGGAGAAAACAGAGATGCTCATTAAATCTATGAGTCTCATTCTTCCTTCCCTACTGAGGTCAACTTTTCCATCAAAATACTTTAGTTCTTTTGTGGACATTTAAAACATATTTCCATTTTTAAAAACACATTTTCAAATAGCAGCCAAAATTCAACAGTTTTTGTAATAGCCAAACCCCATCATACTGAAGGGTAAATGAATCACTTGACTTTGAGACTTCTAGGGCAAAATTTAGTTTAGTACCGTGTCCTCTCAAATGTCTAGACCAGACTTTATTGCTAATAATAGGTCATATAGATGTTGGGTATTTATAGGTTACTCCTATGGATTTAGAGTTTCACAAACTGGGGAAAGAAAATGTGTACCATAAGGTTTATTTAGAATGGGACAGTCTTTTTAACACAAATGAGAAGGTACAGATGGCGGTTCTATAGGATGCTGTATGCATATTATTAAAATTTAAGATGATGGTATATTCCAAGAGCAAAAGCACTTCTTAGCTCTTGGCTTATATTTAAAATTTTGCTTTTCATGCCCCCCCCAAAAAATTCTAAAATTGAGATTTTGCTTACATAATCTTTTTGCCAGAATTTGGCAGCTGTGATCACAGCTGGCTAGATCTAACTCATGATTTTTTCTAAAATTAACAAACGTGGTTACTCAGGAATCTCAGCAAACGAAACGCTTCTTTTGATGCTTTTTGTAGATAGCATTGCTTATCAGAAGTCCTTACTCTGCTATAGAACAACATACATTTCACAAAGGTGAGCACAGTACTAATTCGGACATCCCGAACCCGGCGCAGTGTTCGTACAAGCTGCCAGGTGGGCTAGCTCCTCTTTTCCCCGCCAACTCATGCTACGACAACCTTTTACTTTTATTTTTCTTGCTGCCGTGACTGCTCAGGGGACAAACTGCTGGCACATGAGTGGCGGGGCGAGATGTGCAGGCCGTTCGGCGCGGCGGGGCTGTGCACACGCGGAGAGCACGGTCCGGCCGTGCGGGCTGCCCGCCCCCGCCGGGGACGCGGCTCCGTGAGGCGGGACGGGCGGCGGCGCCGCGCCCTGCCGGGCACTCGGGAGCGGGACGCAGCCCCCGCCGAGCCGGCAGCACCGGCGGCGATGTTCCCCCTGTGGAAGGACGTTCTCTCGGAGAGTCTCCTGGGTAGGTGGCGGCGGTGCCGCCCGAAGGGGCTGGGGGCTCGGGGCCGCGCTGAGGGCACCGGGGGCTGAGCCGGGGCCGGCCGTAGCGGGGCAGCCCCGGCAGGGCGCCGCGGGGCTCGCCGTGCGTGCAGGCGAGCCGCCGATGAACAGCTCCCCTCTGGAACGAGTAAATAGCGCTCACACCTGAGCGCTCTTCCCCGGGTTCTCTTTTCCCTCTAGTGCTGGAATGCTTTTTGTCTCTTGGATCAGCCTAGAATTTACTGCTGCTGTGTCCGGCCAGGTGCTTGTGCAGGCGTTGCAGAGGCGGTGCTGCGCTGCCCTGCTCGAGGCAGGGCGCCGGGGGTCGCCAGAGCCAGCGCCCGCAGTGTCTGCTCGCTGCATCTCCTGCCAAGCATGGAAACTCACAGCGCGGTGCTGCCGTGCCCGGATAAGGTGTTTCCAGGGGAGAACAGCACACCGATTTACTGGAATAATTCCTTTAGCCACCAGTCTGCCTTTGAGTAGCCCTGAGACTGAGGGTGGACTGCTTATTTAGCCAGCCCTCTGAGCACTAGTCCTTTCCGAAGTTGAGCACTTCGCTGAGGTTCAAAGTAGGAACTGCGGCTGAGTGGGAGAAGAGCTGTTTTATTCTCATAATTCTATTTCCTTGTAAAATGCATTTGTTTAACTTGAAATAACAAACATTTCTTCAAAGAAGGTAGCTGTTTTTGCTTGAACTGCTTTCAAACACATTTGATAGTCTATATGTGAAAGTATAAAATGGTGCCTCTTAAGTAATCTCCAGGAAATCTTGTTGTTGAAAATATGTGATGGGGTTTTCTCTTTTTGGTTTGTTCTTGTTTTAGGCTACATTTCTTGGTCTCTTTACCATGCACTGCCACCAATGATCTACTACTTCCCTCTTCAGACACTGGCACTCACAGGCTTAGAAGTTTTTGCTGTTGCCTTCTTTTCCCCGATATTCTTGACAATTGACCCTTTTTGGAGGTTGGCTAACAATGAGTATGTTCTAGCCTTTCTGAGATTGACTATGGTTGGTAAGTACTCAATGCAATGAGTTATAGATTCTGTTCTGGTATCAATGCATAAGAACAAACATACCAAATTGCCTTAAAATTCAGACTATTACAAAAAGAGACAGAAATAAGAAGTTCTCACTCTCCCCATACTCATGTTTTTCTGGTTTCATTTTTTTTCTCTCAAGCTTTTAGCTACAGTCAGAGAAATATTTTTTGTAGCCATTGTATTGCATAAATACAGAAAAATATAATTTAACTTTTATTTCTAGTAGCTTTTAATTTAGTAAGAGTGATGTGCAATAGGAAAGGTATTTTCAGTATCACTCAAATATCAGCAGAGCAGGTGTTCTTTGAATTGTGACAATGGGTAGGGATGAGGCATTACAGAACAGCTTGGGGCTAGTTTCTATGAGTGAAATATTCTTTTTAGTTTCGGAGGCAGTTTTTTCTTCTAAGAATGTATTTTTTAAATTAAATCTGTCTATCTACATGCCTGTAGAGGGGTTACAGGCTCATCCTAAATATGAAATAAACTCAGGAAATAGATGCCCCATTTCCCATTCCACAGGCTTCTCCTTAAACCAAGATTTGCTGGGATTCCCACTTCAGTCTTCAGCTAACTGGTGCAAATCTTAGCTCTTGTTGTTTCTTTGAAAGTTTTTTGGGGGAAGGTTTGGCAGCTACAGCCACGTTCAGAAGCGAGAGTTTGCCACACCCGATGGACTCAGAGGAGACAAGGGTCTCCATCCTGTGTAGAGGTGAAAATGTTGCTGAGAGGTGTGTTTCACACGCAGCAGATCCTAGCTCCTCATTTGTCAATATAAGATGATAGACAGATAATCACTTTCTTTATAGTTTTCCTCTTTTGCTGTTAGAAGACAGAGTACGATCATCTTACTTACTTTCCCTGTGCAGTTTTTTTAAAATGAATTCTTTTTCTTTCTCTCTAGAAAAATACTAGAACTGAGCAGAGTTTGTTGGTGTCATTGATTTTCATGAAGAATAGTCTTACCATGTTCTTTTCTTTTCCTGCTCTTCCCATTTCATCCATCCTAGTACTTGTCTTGTTATTTTGTAATAAGCTTCTCAGTGAGCAGAATCTTCAGCTTCTTGCAGCAGTGCCTCGTGTGTTGCCTTCTGCAAGATCTTCTAGTTTAGAAAGTAGGAGTGAGTATAAGCATTTAAAATTGCACCTTACCTTCCTTCAGATGTGACACTAACACAAAATTTGCCATGCTTATTTAAGGTTGATCCTTCAGATCACCTTACTGTGTTTACTAGTTCACTTTACCAAAAGAGATGGAAATCACTTAGAAGTGTGTGATTTTTGTTCTGCTAAATAAAGAGCAGTGACAGGCCTATGATGATCTTTTATGTGTTGCTGATTCTCCTGTTTCTCAGTTCTTCCTGTGTTTTTCCTCCTTCATACTGAGGCAATTTTATTCATTCTCTTTTTGATCTTTTTTCCTTCTCAGAAAGGCCATGGCCGTCTTCTGGGACTTGTTGAATTGTCAGGCAGAACAATCTACCCCATGCATGCTCCACCCCATTCTACTCAGTCTTCAATTTCACAACCAAAAAATAAGAAAATTTTTCATGCTTACCGAAGACCTGAATATTTATGGGGATTATTTTTTTTCCTGTTCTCTTTCTTTCTGCCTTTTCAGGAAGCTTTCTTTTCCCTGCAGCTTCTAATTTCTGTGTCCTTTCATGCTACTTGATTTTGTGCTCTATTTGAAAATAAACAACAGCAAAGTACCCTGTGGTAGTGTCTATTTGCATCTGTGTCTTCAGACAACATAAGTTAAATTTGGGTGTTTGGATAGATATATTTAAGTCTTGGGTGTACTTGCCCAGCAACTAAAGGTGTGTCTGCTCTGACTTGGCAAACCCCTGCTACCTTTAATCAGGGTAGCACACATGATGAAATATTTGGAGAGGCAAGTTTATGGATTGCCAGCACAATTTAGTGACAGAAATCTGTGTGTACTGTGAAAACCTCTTTTGAAGTTCATGCAAGTACACCTTCACTGCACATTGATCTTGTTTATTGTCTTGGCTCTAAGCTTTGCATCTTTTACTCTGAGCAGAATGAGCAGGTAAACAGTTGGAGGATCCCTCACACGCGTTGCCAGAATCTGCAGCGCCGTTTCTGACATTGCTTGCTTAACATCTCTTCAAGTTTGACTCATACTTACTTAGCAAATGGCTGATATCATAACAGTGTTGCTGCTTCTCCTGCTGTTTGTCACTGGTCCTGGGCCAGAATTTGCCACGCTGACTGAGGTTACGAAAATATATGTGGTCCATTTTCACTTGAATTGGAAACCTGTTAGCAGAGTTTCAAACTGCTGGTAATGCGGGGTCACTGTGCCCTGGGAAATGGCAAAGGTGTGTGCACAAGCTCTCTTTCAGTGGCTGGGAAAGTGGTAGTTCTCAGTAATAAAATGGCACAAGCTGGTACTGACCACTTCTGAGACGAGATACTGAGCCAGAGAAAGCCTTGTTCACCCCTACTGAGGCAGTTGATTATTAATCCCTGTGCTATGTATGGTGACTGCTCCTGTCTAATAAAGAACGTGGCTTTTGCTACAGTGTGCCTACTTTTGTAAGTATACTGCAGCAAAAGCCATATCCTTTTTAGAAAGGAACAGTCACAGTACATATAACTTTATGGCTTTTGAGTTATCTAAGTGCATGGTTGAAGAATATCTGTATATGCTTAAATATCCATATATCCTCTCTATGGAATCAATCACCATAAGTACTTAAATAAAGGCAATCACTCGGACTGTTGGATAATTGCTTCATATAAACTTTTTCCTTGAAAATTATAACTGATATGAAGTCATGTATACCCAATTTCTATGTCTACCTGCATTTCTTTGGTTTATTTAAAAATGTGTAGTGTCATGTGTTTTCAGATAAGTGGTGTAGCTGTTCAAATTACAGACAATGTTGAACTAATGCACAGGAAATCCTTATTACCCGGTCTCTATTGATCATTAAAGTAACCTCTGTGTGTGTATTTGTTTGTAGGAAGCTTAGCATCATACCATGCACCAAATGCTTCAATTAGACTGCTCATCTTGGCTGCTGGTGTTTCTTCCTCATTGCTGGTTCAAACAGTAACATGGTGGTCAGGAAACAGTGTACAAAGGTATTTTCTTATACTGATGGAATTTAACTGATGTTTCTTTATATTAAAAGCTGTTTATATTTTTTTTTTAATCCTCCAAATGTCTCACTGTTTCAAGAACTGATTCTTACAGGTTCATCAGAATATGGGGCTTCATGCTAGGCAAGATAATGCTCCTTGTTCTTCGTATCTGGTACACATCACTTAATCCAGTCTGGAGCTCACAAGTTGCCAATACTGTCATACTGACAATTGGTTTTGTAGCAGCAGTGGAGCGAATCCATTCAGGTAAGTATATTGCAGCAAAGATGGTGGTTATGAGAAGAGCCTAAAGTATACCTAGCTATGTGTCACTGGGTTTTGATTCTTTTCCCCCAACACAGTCTGGTTTTAGACCTGCTGCATGAGCATTGCAGGTTTTAGAAGTTGTGGGGTACTTCCATCTGCCCATAATATGGCAGAACTGGTATCACAGTTCATACAAGTGGTATTAAGTTGGTGCCAGAACTGCCTCTTTTTCCTTATTGCAGTGCCAACAATGTGACAGTAACACAAACAAAGGCATAAGATAGACCAATAAAACCAGAATGGATTATTGTCTTTCCAGCATGAAACATTTGTGGTGTTTTTGTTATTTTGTTAATTCAATTTGTAGTTTTTGTTTCTCTGCCAGTGCATATCTTTTAAGAGAGAAGGGGAGACATAGTTGGGGAACAGCTGATATGTGAAAATAAAGAGAAAGAATTGGAGGAGTGGACAAGTTGTCCCAGTTAAACTTTGCCCAAGTTCTTGAAGTGTTTGCACAGAGTACACAGTAGTGGGGGCTGGCATAGGCTGAACTGTGGAGGTGGTATTGCCAAGGAAGACAGCAAGGCTGGGCTGGTTAGTTAATGCAGCTCATGTTAAATCCTCAGAATATCCTTCCTTCTCAGTATAACCTTAATGAATTAATTGAAAGATAAAACCTTATCTATGTGTAAGTGGGTATAAATTAGCATCATGCATATTGTCTGTAAGCTTGCATTACATGATCTAAATTAAGCCTGAGCTTTCATCATAATTTAGAAAGGGAATCTGCTGCAGGAGATTAGGAAGGAAATCTGTCTTGTTTGTGGGTGACAAAATGATATGTCTATGCAATTAAAGGTGCTGCATTCTCCTTAGATGAGAGAGATTCTAAAGCACATGGGAAAAAAGGAGAAGGAAGGGAGTTTATTTCTGGCTTATTTGGAAGTGTCAGGTTTTGTTCTTATCAGAGTTTAGAGTTTCAGAGAACAGAAGCCTCTGAACAAATTCTAATAACTTTGCTGCTGATTTGCAAAGCCAATTTAAACATTTAAAATTTATTATGGAAAATAATCAGATGTGCAGGTGGCATTTTTGCCCGAATATACTCACTTATGGTGAGTATATTTTCTTGACAGACCTCGAGTTGTTAGTAAAGATTTTTTTTTGTATCATCAATTTCTGATAACACAATCCTAATCAGATAAATTAGCTTTTGTGCATGCAATTTATTCTAGTAAATTTGTGATTTTGGCTATTTCTTTTTCTCAGTAGCTCTTGCTAATAGGATTTGACAGTTTGCTCAGCTGTATTTCTATTCTTTTTCTAGGTGGAGACAAGAGGAAACAAGAAACAAACAAAACTGGTAATGTGATTAGAGAGGCTGCTTCCCATCCTCACTGGTTTTTATCAGGGATTGCTTTTGGCAGCCTCATATTCCTCACTGTGTGGATATTTGGGGAGGTGTCCTTAATTTCCAGATGGGCAGTAAGTGGACATCCACATACAGGTCCAGATCCTAATCCATACGGGTAAGTACATGATCATGATGATGATGATGATGATGATTACAAAATTGTAATGAAAATCCAGTGCTGTAGTGGGTGACGAATTAAAACTCAACCTGATGATTGTATAAGACAGAAAAAAGTGGGTACAAGGAACTTCACACAGAGGATTCATTCTTCCTTTGAGATATCACTAAGCATTTTGTCCAGACCTTAAAATTTTCTGATACAGAATTATTTTTATTTCAGCACTAAAATCTTGGTTTGTCACATTTCAAAACAATTTTTATATTAGGACTGAGGTTCAAGGACTTATGAATGCAGTGCATCTATAATAAGCAGTAAATTAGTCTAGCAGTTGGCTTCAGAGAGGAGATGATCAGAGACACATGCAGAAAGTATAAATAAACTGTGTACACTATTAAAATATATACTTCAGTAGAAATTTTGTTTAGTAAGAGTGTAGTCTTAACACTGTGTGTAGTTCATTCAGGTTCCAAAATCTAGAAAGAAAACAAATTACTTATTCAGAATAAACTACATGTGATGGCAGTTGACAGAGTTTATATTTTGGAATTGGTACACAAAAGAGCTCCCCAAGACTGAGAGCAGTGTTAGATACTTTAGGATTCCTTATTTGACATGAAGAAAATACTTCTATTTGGGGTAGATTCTTCCCTTTCTTTTTCTTTGAGTTGTTTTTGCCTTTTGTACCAAGATATCAGTGGACTGCTTTTGCTGCTGAACACAGATCACTTATACATAACAGAAAATTGCCATTATTTTCAACTGGATGTTTTTCACATCCAATAAAGGGAAGAAAATGTAGCTGGGTGTGAGCAAAATTTAGCTTTGTTTAAAGTAAAATAATTATAATATATTACCAAGGACCCTTGTCCATATATCTAGAAGTTTGGGGTTTTTTAATATCAGGTGTTTTAAAATCATATTAGTGCATGTTTTCTTTTTCCTTATTGTTGTGTCAGAGGTACAGTTCTGTTGGGCCTTGCTCATGGACTGATGCTTTCATTTTGGAGCTGGTCTTCTATCATCAGTTTTGCCTTGTTTCTTATAGGTAGGTGCAAATCCTGAGCAGAATTTTTGTCTGTTACCTTATTCCCTTTACTCAAGTCCTCTAACCTGACACCACATCTCAGAAAGGCGTGGCTAATCAAAGCCTCCTTGTCTCTTGCCCCTGACTGTAGTACACATATGTCACCAGTTGACTGAGGGTTACATGCCAAATCTCCAGGCCATTGCAGAGCAGAGTTATTGTCTTCAGAAGCCCTGTTAAGGTTCTGTTCCCTTGAGCAGCATCTCAGTTCTGACCACCTGCATTGTGTAACAGTTGGACTTGATGATCTTAGAAGTCTTTTCCAACCTTTGTGATTCTATGATCACTAAGGCCACATCAGGGTTATGGGGCTGAGAGGACACAAGTCTCTCAATTCCACAGGAGGCAAAATAACTTGTAATTTAACAAGCAGTCTCCCTGGAGACAAGCTTGTCTCCTGTGCCTTTACTTGCCAAGTTCTGCAGGCAGTAAAATAGTATGAACAGGCAGGTTTTAGTGTTAAGAAATGTGTGTACAGATTGTAACCTAAGCATGAACATTTGATTTTTGATGCACACACATTGCTTATTTAAAACAGGCACAGAAAGGTTCTTTAATTGATTCAAGCATTGTATTCTAAAATGCTCAGAACCTTGATGTATTAAAGTTAAATATTAAAAGTGTTTCTCTACATTTGCTTTCGTGGTGTGACAGTAAATATTCATATCTACAATAATGTTTTAAAATGAAGTTGTCCCATTATAGAGAGGCTCTGTTGTTTTTAATGTTCTGTTTAGAGTCAAATCCCCAAATCAAAGATAGCATGGTAACTCAAGGATCTTGCAGTTAGTAAAAGATTAATAGTTGCTTTCTTGCCTATCCTATGGTTATATAGAGGAAAAGATCAGGAAATGATATATCTGATTTTCTCTTCATATCAATTTATTTGATTCTTTCTGTATTATGGTAAAAGAGATTCATGACAGACTGTTATTCATGACCAACTGACAGACCTGTTACTCTCTTAAGAGCTGCATCACTCCTCTGTTGTGCTGAAGAACTCTAAGAAAAAACTGTTTGGTTTTGGTCCTTGATGATATTTCTCTGCCCTCTTTTTCCTGTACTGTTTTCAGCTGAATAGGCAATGTTTAAAAGAATGAGATATTGGGGAAAATAGAAGACTGTCTTTGGCTACTGGTAATATCTGTCCTTGTAGTGATGCAGTTTTTAAGGCTGGAAAGCACAATTATATTTCCCAGACTACTTTTTCACTAGCCAGAATGTGAAAATGAGTGTGGTGGGTAAGACACCTGACTGAGACTTACTCTGTTCTTTTCTATCCCTTCACAGGTTTGACATCTTCAGCTGGTCTCCTTTATTTACATACCTGGAGTGCTGCTGTTGCAGGCAACATTCTTGGTGTCTTTAGTATGTGTGTGTGGCCTCAACTAGCTGCACGCTTTGTTAGCTGTCTGCATCCTGGGAAAGCCATGAGCACAGCCATGTTTGCCTACGTTCTTGAATTATTCTTCTGTGTATGGTGTACAGCTTATAAATTTGTACCTGGAGGAGTTTACATTAGAGAAAGCTCCCATCTTCTTCTAGGTACATTTGTGATAATGAACAAATACAAATATGCTTGCTTTAGCTTCAGACAGACATGTGAAATGTATCTAGTGTATAAAGAGTCTTTTCAAGTGCTTGGTTACTGTTTAATTACTTACTGTGGTAAGAGTTTCAGTGCAAAAATTAATGAGACATGCAAAAAATATTCTACTTGTTTCTTTACTGTTAGAAATAGTCTAAAATGTGGACAGGAAATGGAATTCAGTTAAGGAAAAATGACGAAGTGGAAAAATGTCTGATAACTAAAATATGCAGTGGAGGAAGAGATCTGTTATCCAGTCACCCTAAAAATATGGCTGCAATCCAGGGTGTGAATGCACAAATATGCTGGCTACCTAAGGTAGCAGTGCCTCAGGTAACAGGGTAGCATCTGGGACTGTAATGTAATTCAGTGCATTATTTAACCTTGCTCTGCAGAGCAAAGTGCAGCATCCTGCTGATCTAGCTAGTCTACATTGGAGACCTGAGCTTCTTTCCCCTGTGGCTCTACCTTATGTTTTGTGGACACACCAGCATGTTTGGGGCGTTTCAGATGAGCCTGTAGCATCAGAAACACGTGAACAGGACAGGCAGAAGAGAAATTGTCAGGTATTTGCAAATCAGGAAAAACTGAGTTAAGCACATATAAAGGTTTTAGCAAAATGATGACTTGATGAGGGTGGAGAGGTGGAAAGGAAACTAACCCTTCCTGGTTTTGTCTCCAGAAATATTTTTGCAATAGGTACTAACATGTTTAAATGGCATATTTCACTAACTGCATTTGAACAATGCCAAACATTGTCTTGGGCTCATTGTGTGGGGCATTTTTTAAAATGTGACGCATTAGTATATTTTATTTGGAAAGGATTAATGAACACTGTGCTTAACTTGTTGCTCCAAAGGGTTCAGATTTCATAAATGTCTTTGCAACTACTTTGTGTCACTCCAATTTTTTACTCTTCATGTGTGTTTCCTATATTACAGCATTCACATGAGGGATTTGAGTTCATTATGTTTTAGGAGAATTTAATTCCATTATTGCATTACTTTCTTTGTTCTGAAAGCACTCTGAGGAGTCTTTAGAAACAGTTATCTTAGGTAATTAAATTTAATTTTTTGAAATTATATGAAGAAAGCATGTGGTAGAGGAGTGTCAAATGCTTTCTTGAGTAATGCTTTCACAAAATAAATATTTTATTCAAAATTCCTCTCTGTTACTTCCTTTGAAATGCACACTTGTGATTAATTTACCTAGTGTGATCGCTTGGTGGTAACAGAGAGATGGCCTTAATTTTCTCTTTGGCAAAGAAAACTATAAATGGAACACAGCTGATGGCACTGCATGAGTTTAACTTCCATCTGGGAATGCAGTTTCTATCTTTTTGATGCCATCTCATAGCTTATCAAAGATTATACAATGAGACTGTGTATTTGTTGCTGCTCTTTTACTCTTACAGCTTGGCTTTCTGGGAAACTGCTCATTTTCTTCTGGTTTCTTCCAGGTGCAGGTGCTATTTCTTGCTTTCTTCTCCTGTCCAATATCCTGCCTTTCTCTTGCTGCAGTTTGGGTAGGGAACTGCACCACGAAAAGTGACAATGAAAGTAAGATCATTAAATTCAAAACTTCTGTGCTGCTTCACTGTGATGTGATATAATGCTGAGGGGTCAGATTCCTGATCTCCATCAACTTTAATGGCTGTGAATCAGTCGCACTTTGAGAAAGGTTTTGTGTTGTGCTAGACCCAGTGTCCTGGTTTGCAAGCTTTCACTACAGCTAATGTAACAAGTAAGGGAAATTAAAAAATACTGAGTAATAGTTAGCTATTACTCTGAAGTAAAATATGGCTTCTATAATTAATTAACTATGCCACAAAGATATTAAGGGCATATATCTTCTCCAGCAGAGCTCTTATCCAGTTCATTATCCTCCCATGCTTTTTTTGAAAGTAATTGGATTCTTTATCTCATTAGGGATTGGAAAAGACCTTGTACTATTAGTCTGAACTACTTATTGAAAAGATACTATCTCCATACATTGCAACAGTTAGTGCACTGAAGTTGCTTATTAGCTTTTAAAATGTTATTTTAAAATGTACACACCTACATTTTTAAAATGTAGGTGTGTTTAGTTTTCTGCTCTTAAAAAGCAGATTTCTGTTGGCTCTGGAGTTCCAGAATACAGGTTGCTGCCATGTTAAATTGACCTTCCAACCTGCTTACACTGTTTTATAACAAAGTGTTGTGCAATTGCTTTTGTAGTTCCTATATGAAAAATGTGTTACTTTTATTTTGGTGACAGCAGTTCATTGTCAAAGATAATAAATATGTGCAATCATCAGTATATTTTTTCATCAAGCTGTTATTTTAAGGTTCTATAACATGTAGGTGTAACTCAATTGTTCTTGACCAGGTTAATGTCAGAAACTTTGAAAACAGTGGGCTCAGCTGAGAGTTGTAGCCATCAATAGGGCCTGGAAGGATTTTAGCATAATTTATCTGCCATTTGTCTGCCTTTTTGACATAATACCCTGTAACTGTAGAGCAAATCAGTCTTGTGAGGTGCATGCTGCCAATAAATCTCATAGTTCCTGCATTGCCTCATTAGACATACCTAGCATTTAACTGCATTTTGCTTTGAATCCTCTTTGTTGTTGGAACCATGAGGTTGTTATGTTGTAGCACAACAGCTGGGAGTTTATAAAACGTGTTTATGAGCAATGTTTAATATGTTAAAGGCCTATGAAAAAAACGTATCACTTATATTTTTACAGGTTTTATAATGTTATGTATTGGGGTAGACTTTCTAACAGGACCCAAGAAAGACCTTAGCTCTGTCTTTGAAGTGAAAAGCAATCAAAAACCATTATTCAAAAGGAGTAAAAAGTATATTAAACTACGTAAGTATAATTTGAGTTCCTTTTCTCCATGGCTCTAGGAATACTGTTTGAGGAAAAAAATAACACTGTGGAGTGTCTGCTCAGATGTTTTAGAAATGTTTTTTTGGTACTTGTCTTAGAGACAGACTGGTATTTGGTATTTCCCTAGTTCCAGGTTAATGATGACATATACTACTGGAGGAGCTGACTCACTGTGGTTATGACTGATAGAGGCTATTCCTAATGGAGTGTGTCAAACAGAGACAAGAAAATGGGCACAAACCAAAATGTGAAAATGGATTCAGCATCATTGGTGGTTTTGTTTTAGTGGTTGAGGAGGGGGCCTTTCTGGATCTTGGGATTTACACTGCGTGTACAAGAGATGTGGATGGTTTCCCAGCCACGCATTGTGGCGATTTTGAGGCGGTTCAGTGTCACAGCACTGCCAGGGCTGTGTGAGCTGGCTGGCAGTGTGGTGGCACTGGGTGGCCCTGAGCTGCTGTACAGTGTGACACTCTCCTGCCTGAGAGGTCCTGCAGGGCCTGCTGTGGCCAGCAGCACAGCACAGTGCTTGGGGCTGGCTGTGTGCTCAGACCAGACCTGTCCTCAGGAAACCATTGTCATCTGCTGCCCCTCAACCATGCCTAGGGATCCCAGATTTTCAGGTTATATGTATGGGCTCTGCTTTTTTCCTTAAGTTTTGAAGAGAAATGAAAATCAAACTTTTGAGGTTTTATCACTTTTTGGCTTTTAAAGCATACAGATATTTTCAAATATTTTTCTACAATCATTTGAGTGCCTGATTTGTTTTCATTGTCAGCTTACTGTTTCTAAAGAAAAATGCCTGTCAGTAGAGTGAAGTTTGGTAAAGGAACAAAATGCTAGGCATGAGGGCATGGTAACCCTACAGAGATCAGGATGCTGAAGATTGCAATTCCTTCCGTCTTTTCTTCTGTGACTTTGGATCAAACCACTTGTCATTTGTTTACATTTTGCTGCATTTGGAAAAAGAAGACAATAGTGCTTCACAGTTTTTCAGAGCTGTTTCTGGAATCTTTATGGAGGTCTTTGCCCTGTATACTCAGGGGCCAAAAGAATGTGGCCTGTGGGAGTTTGTGTCAGAGAAAACATGAGCACCATTTCAAGTGGTTTCAATATTACCGCTAAGAAACATTTCACAAAAGTAAATTAATATTTCAAAATATTACCTGTCACAAAGCACAGCCCTTGCCCAGCTACCCTTGTAATGTTGCAACAGTACCTCTTGTACTTCCTCATCATGCCCACACTTGTACTGTTTCTCAGCTTCCACTCTAAGCACCTTTGTGTCTTGCAGAGTAGGAAATTGCTTGACATGTGCTACAATAAGTAGCATGTCCTTCTTTCTGACATCTTCCATTGTAAAATGTATTTAAATTTTGCACAAAACTATTCCAGAAAACTTGCATTAAAATTATTTCATATATTTTTAAATATATGAAAGAATAAACTGAGTTACTGAAATCATTGCATATGCCACTGTGTAAATGAAATAACTGCAGAGGGCTTTGATCATCAAATTATATTGTGCTGAATGGTGAGAGCTCTTAAATGCACAGTGGTTATTTGTAATGCTACAGGAGCAATTAGAAAACTCTCAATATGCTTTCTATGAAGCTGCACTGTCTTTCTAAGAATATGTGAAACAAATGACCCCTCTGTAAGTCTGGCAGGCACCACATCTTTCTGACATCTAAAGGCTTGCAAAGTAAACTAAATTTTATTCCACACATTATATTAATACAAGATAAAAATTGTGTACTACAGATGCATACTTGCACACAGAGAGGAAAACACTGAAAGGTTTACATGATGCTCTTACCCATGTACTATAATAACATCTTCAGTAGGTGTAATTTTTACATAACTATTCCAAGGAGTTTTGGTACTTTTTATCTGCTCAGCAGGTTGTGTTTTGGAGAGTGTATTTGCACACATACACACATTCTGCATGCATAGATACTGCCTTGATCTGCTGTTTTCACTTAAATGGACACATTTCTTGTTCTGAGAATAGCACACCTTTGAATAAGTGTCCTGTTTAACCACTAATAGCATTAATTTTTCTCAAATTAAAAACATTTTTCTGTGTTTTTCTATTTCAAGTATTGTGGCTGCTTGTTGGTGTTGGTTTGCTTGGATTGGGTTTACGTTATAGAACTTACCAGAAGAAGTTGGGCCAAGGGGTGAGTAGGGTGTTTGTGAGAATGGTAACTTTCAAATATACAGTAAAGTGTGTGTGTAACAGCTTAGGTGTGTTAATTGTGGCTGAAGAAATCTTTGCAACCAAGAATTTGGAAAAACTAATGCATAATTCAAGATGCAAAAATTTAATTTATAAATTCATGTCAAATTGAAATGTCCAGGTGTTTGGAGATTTATAGTGATGCTATGAAGTAAAAAGTATTTTGAAAATTTGAGAGATTCTCATTGATGTCTCATATGTTCAATTTGAACATTACTTTTATAAATTAGTTTATTTGAATGGTATTCAAACTGGACAATGCTGTTAGCCTTCTGATCTCTTGAAGGGGGAGTTTGGACAGATAACTTCCTGAGGTTTCTTCCAGGTGAAGGAATTTTATGGTTCTATACTATATCATAACTCTGAATTGAAGCTCTCTGAAAAGTTGGTTGACATAGGTTAAACTTAGAAATGGAAATGGTATGGAAATTGGATAAAAATGTGAAGATTCCAATTTTCTATCTTGAAAGAAAATAGGTATTGCAAAGGTAATAAATAACAAGATGGTTAACAGTCGTGGAGTTCAGTGTTAGAATCACAAATGCACACAGTTTTATATGGTTGGCCTTCTTTTTCAATTAACTCAGGTTTTGTCTTTTTGTGTGGCAAAATGTGGTTAGTTCCTCATAGTAAGATGAAAAAATGCATTGTCTCTTTCATCTTAATTTTTTTACTGTTACTTCTACAAATTCATTTGAACTATGATGACTTTTATTCCCTTGTTAATAGCAGATTTAGTCTTTTGTAATTCTGACATCTTTATTAGGAAAATATACTGGTTAAAACATCTCTTCCTGTATGTCTTTTATGGCACCATGTGTCTGGTGTTGTTTACTGCAAAGCTATAATATGTAAAAATTCAAATTTTATTTTATTTTTTTCCTTTTATTTTTTGAGGTTCCAAAAAGAGATTTCTCTGCTATGATCTGGCCTTTTAGATTTGGATTTGACAATGAAGGATGGTCTAATTTGGAAGGATCAGCTAATTTGCTTAATCAGACAGGTAACTTTTTTCCCCTACTTAATTTATATTTGGGAGAATTCATCTGAAGAGACATATGTAAACCCCTTGGTAACTGAGGCATTAACAAAAGAACCTGTGTTTAGTGGTTTTCTCCTCAATTTGTGAACTGTTCCAATACAATCACTTCAGTCAAAAATCCATTTGCAGAGGTGATAATTTGTTTAATATGTTTTAAAGAAGTTTCTGGTCAGAGGAAACATTATAAACATTATAAACATTTCTTATTTGGATTTTTCTTCTCATATTGCTGATGAGTTACTTGTCTATAGAGAAATTCTTTGCATAATTGAAATAATATCCTTTTTTACAAGTTGTTGTTAATTAGTGCATGCACAGTATCTCTAATGCTTTAGAAATGGCACGAGATCTGACCAGGCCAGCTGTGTTCTGCAGTCTCATGTATCTCTGGTTATGCACCAGGGATGAGCCATGGCCAGCAGACACTAAGTGCATTTTCATCAGAGTTTGTGTGGCCTGTAGTAGCCAAAAGTTTGGGCATGACTTTGTTGCCAGCATTGATTTGCCTTGACTGACCCCGAAGGGCTTGTGTCCATCCCTCTGTAATCAAAAGGGAAATAATGACATTATTTATAAGTCCCATTTATAGGTAACAGTTATAAATGTGAAAATATTTTCTTTTTTTTCCTTCCATCTTAGAAGCAGATTTTATCACTATTATAGAGAGTGATGCCTCTAAACCATTCATTGGAAACCATGATCCAACCATGTGGCTTGGAGAAAGACTTGGATTTTATACAGATTTTGGTCCAAGCACAAGAGATCACACTTGGGGGTGAGTCACCTTTACATACACAGTGACAGTAAATAGATGTAAATATATTGCCCAATACAAACTGCACTAATACAGAAGCAAAGAATAGTTGGAATAGTGCTCAACTATAATCACTTGTTGCAGCTTGTCCTTTAACAACAGGCTTTGATCCATTAGCATTACCATGCAATGTGGATGGAGTTTTCTCATTGCTAAACATGATCAGATTTTGGTGCCTGCCCCCATAAGCTGCTTTGGTCTTGGTGATGCAGAGAATGGCATCCTGCCTTTTAACGTACAGATTTGGAAGTTTAGCATTCCAAGTATTGCATCTGATGCCCTTTTGACATTATTTTGTTTTGGGCTATGAGAATTTTATATTTCAGACTTAAAAATGTGATAGCAGTTGGAAAATGTAGCACATCAGGAGGTATGAGAAATATTGATTTCATACCTAGCTTGGGCTGTATAATGGGAAATGGGAATAGAAAGATGCATGTCTGTTTGATCAGATATTTTGTGTCTAATTTTATATTAATGCTTGACCACCTACCAGTTGCATATCTTTAAATATCTTTGTCCTCTAGAAAAATACTGGCATATAATGTAGCTTTTTATTTTCAGAGGTATATACACATTTCTGTGGCAGATGGAACTTCCTACTAATGTTGCTATGGCTATTTAATTTTTGTCTTATATGAGGGGCATTTAGTAACTTTCTTCTTCCAGACCCTGTCTATTTGAGGCAGAATAGGGGAGAGAAGTCATTCTCTGAGATTTTTAAAATTAAATACATTGAAAACCTGATGCAAAATGCAGTAGCTGAAAAAAGAGAAATCTCTAATTTTAAAGCTGTATTTCTACCTACTTCTACTTTTAATAAAATACCTTTTAATTTCTGGTAGTACAAAATTCTGTTTTGTCTGAAATACAGATCATGAAAATCTCAGTGAAAGACTTCATATTTATGGAATGATATTTCTTAGTGTAGGAATTAATTTGATAATATATTTTAGACATGTAGTTAAGCAGTATTTTAGAGGGAAACTTCCTCTATTCAGAAAAATCCACTAGACATGGTTTGTATTCTGGTCTTATAGTTTCCTATTTCAGTGACTGTTAGTCTTCTGCTCACATTTATCTGCTTAGTTCACACCTTTGATGCTTGTGAATCACAAAATGTAACTTTTTGCCTCTCCTCATGTAGGATTATGGCACTATCCAGGTATCCAATTGTAAAATCAACCCATCACCTCCTTCCATCTCCAGAGGGAGAGATTGCACCTGCCATCTCCCTGACTGTCAACTTCACAGGGAAGCTTGTTGATTTTGTTGTTGCTCACTTCGGAAATGAAGAGTGTGTATTTCACTTTTTTTTTTTTACATATAGTGTACACAGTCATGTAATGTGTGAACTTCCAGGATTTATTTTGTACTTTTTAAAATGTGCTGCTGTAATACTGTTTCTAGCAGGGCACATTTGAAGAAATACTATGACCGTTTAAAATTGGTTAAACTACCGGTTTAAATTTTGAAGCATTTTTGAATGTGTCATGCAAAACTCAGCTGAACCTACCATCTGAATTCCTAGAGATTTAAAGATACAGTTCTGCAAAGCCACTACAAATCATAGGGCTACAGATGCACCTCAGCACAGGACAGCATCCTTCTGGCTTTTTGCATGTGGAGTAGATGTATTACATTCCACAATGACTGCAGATAGGTACAGTTAGAGATACACAGCAGTAATGGAAAAATGTTTTGTTGTTTTTTTTTTTTTAAATAACAAATCTGAAACTCCAAGAAAGAACGGGGTTGAAACAGCCACAAAAATATGCATCAGTGTCCTTCTGAGAGTATGCAAGTGGAAATAGGAAGTCTGATCTCTGAATTCAGAACAGCAATGTTATACCAATAAATCAAATAAGTGATGGAAAAGAATATGGTATATATTTCAGTTCTTGAAAACAATGTTTTACCTGGGTGTAATGAATATTAATAAGAGATAGTTTTGTGAATGCTCCATGTAGCTGTTATTTCTGTTATATTTGGTGGGATATCTGGAATGTTTGCGGCTATGTAGTAAGTTCTGGCATTTAAAAAAAATTGTTACAATTCATGGAGCAGCAAGTTTATGTGTGCAGAATATTATAACACAAAGAAGCTACTCAGAAAGCCAAAGGAATTCTCTTTATCCCATTTCCGTCCCCTGAGTAGAAATTGCACCAAACCTGCAAATTGCTTATAGATTTTCCCATTTATTAAACAAATATAATTGTCAGATATCACTCCCCATTTTTAACTCTAGAACACAATTTAATTCTGTGCCTCACACAGATGATTAGACTTGCCTGTCTGAGAAACTGTTTGTCAAAGTAGAAGAAAATAACACTGTATTATACCCTTGCAAAGAAATGAGATAAAGATGAAAGACAAAATACGAGGAGACAAATGGGAAAGGAGTGCAAATTAGATTGTGTTTTAGAGGGGAATGAATTTTTAACTATTTTTAATGAATATTTAACTATTTTAAATATTGCACATAACTGCTCATTTTTAATATTTTTTCTTCTGCTGCTTACATTGACATAGACTATAGAATACTGGATAACTAGGGTAGTTTTTAAATAGGATTTTTAAAATGTGGGACTATAAGTATGCCTGTGCTTTTAAAAGATCCTGTCTTGTGGAGAGGTGCATTCTGGAAAGAGCAGCTAGCTGAGCAGGCAACTTCACATATACCTATGTCAGACTTCTACTTAAGTGTTTGTGGAAATTTTTGTCTCCTGTCTGTGTGCTCTTTTTCCCTAATACAGTTGCTTCAGTCAGAAGTACAATTATTTAGAAAACATAGCTGCATTTAAATTGTTGTCTTCAGGGTTTACAGGTTCCAAAATCAGCTTTCTCTGTCAATGTTTTTACTGTTAGCCCAGAGTGTCAAAATCTAGAAGACAACATGATTTGCACAACAATTTTAAAGTCATTAACATGAAGAATCATAGAAAGAGAACAGGTTTTTCATTATTTTATGGCAAATCCAAGGACAGGGAATGGGATCCAATGAAGTATTTTACCAGGCTTCACTTATGCTATCACTTTTGGTCATGTTGGAACGCTTGTGTAAATCTTGTTAAAGAGATGTGAAATACATGCCAAATGTAATTAAGTAATGCTAATGGGATGATGTAACTGTAGTTGCATTTCATAAATTATGGGACCGAGACTTTAAGACTTTATTTACCATGATCTATCCATAATAAAATTTCTTTAGCATGTAAGTTCTTTGTTATGCACCACATCATGCTAGAACAGTTAAATTTTAAGTGCAAGCAGAGACAAAGCCTTAGAGTACCAAAACACTAACATTCACATTTCCTAGTGATGGTATCAGTATTAAAAACAAAACAGTAATAGAAAATGTTGTTCCTGTAATGGATAGAAAGAGAATGTGAATTACATCTACCATGACCATGTGGCTTTTATCAAATGTAGTGATAGCTTTGAATCAATGAGCTTCCTGTCAACTTTCATACTCTCTAATATTGAGCAACAAAAATGATACCAGATTCATCTGTGGTTTAGTATGTCATAGCACAAAGATTGTGAGCTAAAATGTATATGTCTTAAAGTCTTTTTCATTTCTTTCAGAGAGGACTTGGACAGAAAACTCCAAGCAATAGCTGTTTCAAACCTGTTGAAGACTAGCTCTAAGCAAGTTGTGTTTCTAGGATACATCACTTCAGCTCCTGGATCCAGAGACTATACTGAATTAATAAAAAATGGAAATATGCAGGTAATATAAAAATACTGCATCTTTAGAGAATATATATATATATTTTAGAAGCATTCAGCTTAATATTTCTAATTGGTAACTTAAATATAGACAGAGAAGAAAACACGTGCCCATTTTCAAATATAGTCTTTAGCTACCTCATTATAACTCGCAGAGAAGGTGGAGTTACACAGTGAAAGAACAAAAGGCAATGGGCAGCAGCTGCCCCAAGGGCGATGTCAGTTAGAAGAAATAAAGAGGGCTGTCAAGGATTAGAACAGGGGCCTGGTGAAGTTGTGAAACTTTCATCCTTGGCAATATTCAAAAGTTAGCTGCATAAAGCCCTGAGCAACCTGCCTGAAGTGACTTTGACCAAGGTTAGGAGTAGGTGACCTCCAGATAGCCTCTAATTCTGTGATTCTTTTAAAAATGAGCTCTGCATTAAGAGATATCAAAAAGTTGTCTGATTTGTCCATGTCTAACACTGAGCTTTTCTCTTTCTACCTTATTACAATGTTTTAGGCAAAATATTTTTCTGCAGTGAGGTTATACATTGGTCCTGTTACTGATTTAAAGCCTAGCCAGATGAACACTTACCTTATTTGTTTGACTTTTTTTCCCTTTCAATATCCCTCTAGGACATTGACAGTACAGACCGGGACAGATGGTGTAGCTATATCATGTATCGTGGAGTAATAAGGTATGTTAAAGTGAATCACTGATTTGTAGGCTTAAATATTTTTATGGTTATCAGTTTTATAATCTTTTGTAAGTGATTGTGGAAGAGTCTTACATCCCTAAACAATTATTCTGGGCAGTTGGATCTATCATAAAATTATGTGAAACATTGATCTTAGGGTCACAAGAACTGGTGTATCTCTGAATATAATTCACAAAGACACTATTACAGGTTTCATCATTCTGTGTCAAAAACCTTCACTTCTCTCTTCTTTGGTAGCATAAAACTACATTTTTCCAAAGCTCTGGCTTTGCAACTTTATTCTAAAATGTGAAGGCTAAGACCTAATTTGTATGTGACACAGAAGATACAAATTTTGAACTATGTTTTAGGGTTTGTTGAAGCAAAATGCTGACCTAATCCAGCCAATCTGTATGCTGAACTTGAACTGTGTAAGCCCATATTGAGGCACAGGACCTATGCACTCCATATCTTTTAATACCAAATTGCTTGTAAATCATTCTCTTGGTGATGTTTGTACCGGAATGGAATTTATCTTCTTTTGAATAAACTACGCAAATTCTGCAGTGCTCATAAGTCATAAACTTGATAGCTGTCTTAACAGTATTGAGTAAAAAAGAAAAAAAGACAACTAAAAAAACTCAGCTGAAACTCTATTTGCAATTTGAATTTTTTCGCATTATTCATTTAATTGATGCTTGGGTTTCTTTCTTGAATATTGAAATCTTTTCAGTGAAAGTTTGGTGAGCTTATACCTCCACTCATATTCTAAAGCTGTCATTTTAAAAAAATTTTAGACATAGAACTTATTTTTACTGTCAAACACAGTTTTAAAGTTTTTATGCTTATGACATGGTATTATGATCCTGTTTATGGAGCCCTTTCAGTTTTTTGAGGGTGAGATTCACAGAAATGGAAAATTGTGTTGATAAGTTAAAGCATAACTCTTGGGAAAAAAAAAAAAAAAAGATATGTTCATGAAGAATGTGGTGAAATTGTGGTGAGTTGCTTCTTCAAACTAACTCTTCTCATATTTGACAGGCTGGGTTATGCCCGCATATCTCATGCTGGTTTAAGTGATTCAGAAGTCCAGATGGCCAAATTTAGAATCCCAGATGATGTGGATAGCTATGTTGACAATGACAGAATTGTCACTGATCCCAGCCAAGTTCCTGAGGACATCCATTTCAATCCCAGGTCAGTGTGTCTCATAGGAAATGAAGGGGATGCTGTACCTGGCATCTTGTAAAAGAGAAGTCTAGGAACAAAATAATTTCTAAAAGGAGAGGCACTGATCAGTACCCAGTTGAGCAGAAGGGTAGAAGTCAAGAACTTCTGATTTGTAATTCCATTTTTTCGAGTGATTTGGCATGTACCCTGGGAAAATCAGTCTGTTGTGTCACAGCATAAATTACAAGTAATGCTCATTTCACCCAGGCAATTTCTGAGATTGTTTGATAGGGATATTTGCCAAGTGGTGTGGTGACTCATTTGATAGATAATGAAAGGTCTCCCATGTTTCTCAGCACTTCAGAGATCGGGGTCTTAATATACTGTTACTTAGAATATCAAATACAATATATACATTAAATACTTTTTGCATAAGCACTTTAAAACATACCGTATAATTGGAGCAAAAATTAAAGAGAATGCCTGAGGCAGTATGTTGCATGTGTCAAGAAGGGGGAAAAAAAGGGACTAGGTTTAATGTAAAAGAGTCACTTATTTCTAAATTGCCATCATTTTTCCACTGGTATTGCATAAGGAAGAGATGTATAGAGGAAGATATTTATTCTAGTATTAAGTATTAATAGTGAAAGAGCCATGAAGCTCGTGACAGATGTTGCCACAGAGAGAATAATTCCCAGTAATGCCATGTTTACTACTCCTAACATGCATAATGCAGAATATATTACTTTCTTATACACATCTGACTGTGGAGTGTACTCACTTTTTATGTACCACTCAGCCACTGGCTTCCTGTCTAAGCAGGGCTTTGCCCAGACTTTTCCACATGATGGAACTTGCCTACAACTAGCATTCACCTTCAGATTTTTCTCAGTTGACTTCAGTACAGAATCTTGTCCTAATTTCTTTTGTCTCCCTATAATCAGAAATTGTTTACCCTACTGGAATGTATTTAAGATTTTCTGATTAACTGTACTTCTTTAGAAATACAATGGCAGTGCTCTTAAATATTACTTAGCATTGATATTTTAAATAAGTACTCCATTTTACTTTTGCAAGTCTGTCTACCATGATAGTCAGTTGTCAAAACTTTCATAGTTAAATATGGCATGAAAAATTACAATTTTCATCATAATTTGCAAAAGCAAGATGTACAGTATTAATAACAGGGGTGACTGTTTTGATACTGTGGGTGTTTACTGTCTACTGAAATCAGGACTAAAAACATAGCTTAGAATTTAAGTAGATAAATGCAACATTCAGCTTTTTCATCTGGAGTTCCAATTATAGACTGCCTATAGCATGAGCAGAATCAATGTAATTAATTGTCTCCAGTATACTCAAAGACCTTTAGCAGGAGAGGGTTCATAGAACCTGATTTACATTTAATAGAGTTGGGGCCTGTTTCAGAAATAAATTGCCTAGAACATTCAGAAGTAGGGTAGTAATTGTATGATTTAATTGTATGGGTTAAATAATGTTGTAATAGTATTGCTCTGTTGAATATTTTTTTTTAGGTTTGGATCTTATAAAGATGGACATAATTATGTGCCTATTCATCACTTTCATATGAGCACTCCTAAATATTTTAAACGGACAAATTAGAGCAAGAAAATAAAATTATTATTCAGACCAACAAGAAAGGTATATCGCTCAAAACTGAATTGACAGCCAAAAAGACTACAGTGTTTAAGGATGAGCAACTGCCATGCTGCACAACACTGTGAATGTCTATGTAATAGTTTGTGCCTTTCTTCTCGAATGAGCTGCCATCACTGTGAGGGAAGGAAGGTGCACGCATTTTGGTAAACTGGTGTGCACGTTGGCCAGATACCTGCTTTGGTTGCAACCAAGCAAGGGTGGGAACTTGCTTTGGCAACAACTTCTTCAGCTTTTGTGGAGGTACTATATATCATGATGTTTCAGAGTGCTATTGCTGCTACTACAATAAAAAGGTTGACCTCGGGTTTTTCAAAATAGCAATGGAACTAGTGTATTTTTTAATTGGGAAATATGCAGTATGTGTTTGGAGTGTGCACCTTTTCAACTCAAACAGTATTTACACCTGCTGCTATTCCACATTTTATTCTTAAATGAGTTTTACAACACTTTGCAGATAATTGATGTTCATAATACTGGAGAAAAAGAGGTGACTTTTATAGACTTCATTTTATTAGCTGGACATCAGACACTGCAATGCTTTTACAAAGGGAAGAGTAGAGTACCTCTGAATAATGATGGTTATGAGACACCTGCATGAACACACTGACAAAGAATTAAAAACAATCATGCTCAGCACAACAAGGTTTCTGAGAAGGGACAAAAGTTGGTTGTAACTTTTATTTAAAATTAATCATAATAAAGGGAAAAAACCAAAAAGCTTTGTTTCTTTGCTAGCACTACACTTCAGTAGGACTAAATAGAGGTGTTGCTTTTTTTGATCTAGGCAGTGAATTCCCTGTTATGCAATGCACATGTGACACAATGTAAAATGTTGTGTCTTCTCAGGGTCTCTTGGCAATGTCTTTTATATTTAGCTCCTGATCCTTCACTGTACTGGCAGAGCTTCCCTTTAATAATGAGGACATCTTCAGTCCTGTCCAAAGGATGTTTCCTGCTTGTGAGAAGCATGTTAGATAATTTAAGTCACGCATTCAGTTTGGAAATCACATTTGTGATGTTGGCATTTAATACTGTGTCTTTCCAGTCATATCTAAGCATACCATAAGTAAAAGGAATAGGATATGTTGCAGGAAAGAGGATGGATTTTTTTTTCTCCCTATAATTCTTTACCATATACTTTTAAGAACAGTTTGAGTGCACTCAATTTGATTGTTTCTCTATGTAAGCAAATACAGGATGGGTTTTTACCCAGGGTTTCTTGTTGTATGGAGTCAGGTAATTGCTGCCAGCACCACACTTGTTGCTTTATTCTGACCACCTATCATTTTGCTCCCTTGTTTTTAGAGCTGTGTTTCTGAGAGTGAAACTGATCACTGGTCTTTGTGGACAGAAGATATCTGAAAGGCATTTAAAAGTCTCAGTGGTTATGTATTCATCATCTCAGATGTAACTGACAATTAACCAGCCTTTGTTGAACTAATTTCTCACCTATGGGTGCTTTGTGTGTCTTTACAAGCCCTCTGAACTTGTTCTTTGTGTGACTCCCCAGCAAAACAGGGTAAATGATATTGTGGAGAGATACAAATTATTTTCTTGCACTTTTAGCAGTTCTCTTCTGCAAACACCAGTAGCCCTTGTCTCTTCTTTCTCCCAGTTTGCAAAAGTAGCTGGCACTGGCACCAACATTGCACAGTGCTCTGAGTATCCTCATTTATTTTCAGCATGCTCTCATGCTAGCTCTGTTGCACGTCCAGCCACAGGTTCGCCTTTTCATAGTCTGTAGAACACTTAACATTACCTTGCCACATTATTTAACATTCTCCACAGCCTGACTCTGCAAATACCTTGTAATGTGAGCAGATTATTAATGTGAAATGCAAGAAATGATACGTGTGAGTACAAAAAGCTTGAAAACTTCTAATTTTTTAACAATTAAAAAATAGGATGAGGCTATTTTTCAAGAAGCCAGACAGCATAACATGACTTGCATAACAGATCAGATTATAAATCATATCTGTATGTAATCTTCAAAGTGTCGGAGCATACTTTAATGGATTTTTTACAGGATTTAGACATGCTCATCCTATTAGGAAGGTTCATGTTGACAGTGAAAAAATCTGAAGTTTGGATATTCTCTTCTTCTTAGTAGTGTGTAGTTTAATGTATGTAATTAGTAGCTAATATTTGTTGACATTCGCATTATTTTATCAGAATAATTGAAGAAAAACATGACCACAAACTGTTTGTATACTACTTCTACACCTGTGGTTAGAATTGGGAACCTAAAACTAAACTTTATTTGTCCTTACATCTACACACTGATCTAATCCCTTGATATTTAAGTGGTTTAGAAAAATTTGCATTATATATCTAAGTCACAATCATTGTTTCAAACTATGACAGAAATGTGCTAGAACAGGTCCTGCTGCAGGGGTGTGTGACTAATCTTTTAGTTTTGTAATCATACTCTCTTCATCTCAGCTTTCAAAAAAAAGTTTGTTATGAAAGAAGAAGTTTGTGGATATCTTTATGCATTCAGAGATGGCATGCAAAGAAAATAATGTATAAAATAAGCAGTATTTACTAAAGGTTTGAACTTTGCTTGTGGTAAAAGGTCTGGATTACATATATCTGACTTCTAAACAATAAGTATTCTGTTGTACTCCAAATCCCATCCTCTGAAATTCTGTGCAGGTCTGTTGAAGTTTGTAGGAATGTACAGGAAGAGACAGCAGTACCTCAGGGGCCTGTCAGTGTGTATCTTGGAATAAAAAACAACTCCAGGTAACATCGATCAGAGCAAATTCTGAGAGCACTGGATTCTTCAGCAGGGTGGAGACTGCAGTCTCCTCGTACATATATATTCCTGCCTTGACTCAGGCACAGTGACTCTGGTGTTGTTACAGAGCACTCCAAAACCTGGGAGTTGCAGTTCAAACCTCTTGAGCTAAGAAAAACCTGAAATTGTTATTTCCCATTTTCAAAAACGGTGTTGCAGCTACAAGCTGAGCTTGGACACACCCTTTGGTTTTGAACCAGACTTGATGTTATTTAAACAAGTTGTTGCAGCTTAAGTGTACAGGTAACCAGTTCCCACCTGTCTCACTGGAACAGAACACCGAGAATGTTCATGGTCCTCTGCTGGTAGTGAGGGAGATTTGTGGCCCCAGAGAGGGGTGCTGGCTGTTTTGATGCATCCCTAGGGTTCAGGAAGAAATTCTTAGTTGCTCTCAATCTTCGCTGCTTAGAGTTGCCTCATGATGAATTAAGAGAATGTAAAATTTAAAACTGAAGCTGAAAAAAACGCCTATAACTGGAATGTAAGAATTTAGGTATCAACAGCCCTGAAACATGATTTTTGTCATGTATGTAATATATTTGCAGTTGAGTGTACTCACTTTTTATGGATACATAAAAAGTGTGTGTGTGTGTATATATATATATATATATATATAAAAACATATATTTATTTGCAGGATGTTACAGAAGGACCTTTGGGCCAATGTAATGTACCCATGGAGCAAGTGTTAGAGAGGAGACCTTTCCACTTAACACAGTATGGGTCCATGGGACGGGGAGATTAAAATGAGCTGAACTGTTTTATCAGTAGTGCTTTGAAGCAGTTTGTATAATGTGCAGCTGCTGCTTTCTGCCACTTGAGGTCCTCTTTTGTCCCTAATTGGTACAGTTTGCTGATACCAAGAAGGAATAACTCACAGGTGTTGGGTTTTTTCATTGTAACTCTGAGGGTGAAAAATAATTTCAGAAGCATTACACAAACATGTGTTGACTTGTGTATCAGTTATCTCTTTATATCTGTAAATGATTTAGAACTGTGATTGCTGGGCTTCTTGTAGGCACTTTGTTTATTTTCTTACAATACCATGCACTGTGCTTTGTTGCTGCTTTATCTGCTTTCTTAATGTTCAGCAAATACTTCTTTGTCATGTTTTTCTTTTAATACAATTCTCTTTCCCCTTGGTCTTGTAAAACACATCATGCTGTATGGTTCTGGCGCCTAAAATTAACTTTCAAGCTTGTTTCTAAGCTAAGCAACATGAATTAAAGTATTCAAGAGATACAATGGCTTTAGCAATCTGGAGTTGATATGCTTTGGAAATAGTGTTTCCTTTTGGAAATTCTTTCTCAGATACATCTGCACAGTTTCTGATAGTGAAGAAGATACAACTAAGTAAATGGCTCCTCTTTCTCTTGTTATTCAGTACTTTTCACAGTCTACAATTAAGTTTATTGAAAATATGGTTGCCATTTTAGCTATCAATTAAAAAAGCAGTGCAAACATAAAAAAAAGCAAACAATGGCAGTCTTTTCCAGAAAAAAAGAAGTCTGCAGTTCCAAGGCTGATCTAGCAGTGTGCAAACTGGCAGATGCATTTACTGCCACTCTTCAATCCCATGGTTTGTTATTCCTCTCCTGTGCATTGATGGGAGCACCTGCATATATGTGTAGTAAGCCACATCTGGATATTCAGCTGGCTGGGAAAGCAAACAAATAAAGAAAACTTAAAGAATTCCTAAAAGGTTTGTTTTGGGATTTTTTGCTTTTTGGGAGCACTGAGGATAGTCTTGCTCTTTGACCTACCTTGCTATTTAGCTGTCCAAGTGATTGCACTGGCACAAAATAAAGGCTGCCAGGAGGGTTAGTATTAAGACACTAATGGTGGAACCGCTTAAGCTGTCTCAGTCCATGCAGTGGTCCCACCCTGGCTAGATGCCAGATGCCCACCAAAGCCACTCTATCACTCCCCTGTGCAGCTGGACAGGGAGAGAAAATATAGTGAAAGACTTGGAGGTTGAGATAAGAACAGGGAGAGATCATTCACCAGTTAGTGTCAAAGGCAAAACAGACTCGATTCAAGGAAATTAATTGAATTTATTGCCAATCAAAATCAGAGCAGGACAATGAGAAGTAAAACAAATCTTAGAACCTTTCCCCTCTCCCTTCCTTCTTTCTGGCCTTAACTTTATTCCCAGTTTTCTACTCCTCCCACACAGTGGCACAGGGAGGTGGGGAATGGTTATTGTCAGTTCATCAGGTGTTGTTTCTGCTGCTGCTTCCTCCTCAGGGAGAGGAGTCCTTCAGCTGCCCCAGGGAGGGGTCCCTCCTGGGAGACAGTCCTACAAAACTACTCCAACCTCAGTTCTTCCCATCAGTTGCAGCTCCTCAGGAACTGCTCCAACGTGGGCCAGTCTCCCATGGGGCGCAGTCCTTCAGGAACAGGTTGCTCCAGCATGGATCTCCCACAGGGTCACAAGTCCTGTCAGGACCCTGCTCCAGCTGGGCTTCCCACACCTTTCCTTTGGGC